GAGCCATGAATACAGTGAACTAGTATATACTATGAATAAACTCGAGGTGATTAAAGGTGGGAAGTAAATATGAAGCGCAAGCCATAAGAAAGTAAAAGCCAAATTTTCCTGTCTCTCATTTCCCATTAGCAGCCATTGGCACGCACATTGAACACTATCTGACAGGAAAAGGTTGCTACGTTATACTTGCTGGGCGTAACCTCCTTGGTTTTAGAAAGGTTTAGCGAGCGTTGGGGCGCAGTGCCATGAATACAGTGAACTAGTATATACCATGAACTCGAGGTGATTAAAGGTAAGAAGTAAACCCGAAGCGCAAGCCGTAAGAAAGTGTGCGTATGCCACCTCTCGTTTAGTCCTTGGAATGTCCGCTGGATGGCGGTGCTTTATATGGGGAATATATGATGAAAAGATGCGAGATGGTGGTACTTGGAGTGTTGAATAGATGGCCGAACGGACACACAGACATATGCATGGATGGACGCATGAACGGACGCAATGCACGGTCACACGGACGAACGCATAGACGGACGGAAACAAGAACGAATGGACGGACGAATGCTTCGCCCCACCCTCCATCATCACTCCGTGGATATGCTGCCAATTTTTTTCTTACACGTCTTGCTAGTTTCAACCGTGTATACTCGGCGGCTACTTTTCTTGGCATTGGAGCGAAGGCTACAGAGCCAAATCGCATCCGACCGCCAGTGAATGTAGTTCCACAAAAGCGCCCGTATTTTTACCGTGAAATATAGAAGTTCCCCCTTTATTTTCTCGAACTATTTGAGACTGTACACAGCTCCCGTCATTAAGATAGTTGCATTTACTTCAACTTCTTCGTTGAGGAGCTTGGCATCTCAGTCCCCACGTGAGAGCTGCCCGCAATACAGTGATCTGTGTTTGGAGGACCAAATAAACGTTTATCCAATCCAATCCAATTCGTTGTGACTTCGCGTTTCCGAACGCTCGAGAAAGTCCCGCCTTTTCACGTGCACCTCAAACGCGTCTACATGAAACGCTGACGGTGCGCCCCCGTCACTTTCCATGGCGTTACGAGACGCGCGCCAAAACGGACTACTTCGCGTAGGGATACATTTGCTGAAGCTACGCCTCCGTAGCTTTTCCTTCAGTGCCAAGAAAAGTTGTCGCCGAGTATAGTAACTTCCGACGTGCACCATGATATGTTTGTTGCCTTCGAAATACAAGTTTCCTTAAGATTTTCCAATCTCTGGACAAATTTTATTGGAGATTAAGTCATCAATAGTAATCGCTGTCGACTAGTTTCGCCAGAAAAAATGAACTGTTACTTTATAGCTAGCCTATAACGTTTTGCATTAACGTAGAAAAAACATGCCATCTCAAAGCGGGCACTACACTAAAAACAGCATTATTCTACTTAACCATAGACGGTACAAAATAGTTGTTGAGATCTTGAACTCAAACATTTTCTTTTGTTTGTTTTTCCCGATCCTCCTTGATCTGCATAGCGCGCGCGTCGCGCCAGCATTCTCGCAATGCCAGCAAAAAAAAAAAAAAAGAAAAAAAACGGTAATGCGTGCAAGCGACCGCCGGTTTCTTTCTACAGTTGCACAGCCCCGGACAAGCTGGCATGCACAAACACAGCTTCTCCGGTTGTAGATAATTGGGCAAAACAAAGAGAACCCGAAACATTCCACCATTTTGAAACTCCTCTCACGGTGGCGACAAGACGGCGGATGCCGGGAGATTGGTTGCGTTGTCGGCTGGGTATATATAAGGCAATCGAGTAGCCCACTTCGCGTCGAGCCAGCCTGCGTGCACGTAACAGAAGCGAGAATATTTCGTAGAGCGTCCTGTGCTTCGACCAGGGAACAAACTTAGCAACTACCGCCATGGTAAGCAACAATGCCTTCTCTTAGCCCTTCGCTAAGTAGTGTATATCTACTCCTCTACTCTATGATTTAATTTTTTAGGGGTGAAGCTCCAAAAGGCATGGGTATGTCCATTCGTTGTATGTATGTATGTACGTGACCGCCCACAGTTCAACCTTTGCCAACTGCCCACTACTTCGTCCTTGCAAACATCCCAATATACTCCATCACCGATCCACTACTTCACCGACCATTGAGCAAAAACTGTTGAAAAGCAGCAAATATGAAATGCAAGATGGTCGTGTACTTGTATCGAGGTGCGCGTTAAACCATAGACTGTCCCATTGTGTCCATCCCTTATTTCTACGTGACCGCCTATAGTTCCACTTTTGCACACTGCTACTACTTCGTCCTTGCAGACATCCCACTTCGCCCTGTCATCGATTCACCACTTCACCAACCGTAAAGCTATTATAATGAAATGAAGGGGGAACGGAAGTGACGTATATCTACCCCTTACGAATAATAAAACTTCTTATATAAAGATGTAAAGTGTCTGTCACGTCGTTGATGATATGGGCGTTATTCGTGGATGGTTCACGGTTTTTCAATGAAACCCTCCAGCACTTCGCCCCTCTCTTCATCATTCACTCCGTGGACATGCTGTGGTTTTTTTTTTTTGTTCATAAAACCTGAAAAAAATATTACGATTGATTTTCGTTGAACGTTTTACAATATTATCAAGGAAGCCGGGCCCCCGGATACTCGGAAAAAATTATACTAGTTATCCTAAATTTATTTCACTTTAACATGCATTGAAATCCTATGCTAGCAAATATATTTTAACTCAGTGATGGTATTCGTTAATAGACACGAAGTTTGAAAGTTTGCCCTTTATCCGCTTCCACCAGCCAATGTAAAAAAAAACTGGGGAGGGATTAAACATGCAGTGAGTAGATGTTGACATCTCCACAAACGGAAAAGCTGGGACGAAGCATGCAGTATTTTGAGAGACATTTCACTGATGAGGCACTAGCAGTGTTGCCACAGCTGCTGATTGATCAGTAGATGTACTGATTTTTAAAATTTACTGTGATTTTAAAATAAAACGGTGTTTCATTTTGAAAAGGGGGGGGGGGGTAAATGGGGTGGCGGCAGGTGAAATGTTCAAGGGGGGAGGGGGGCTTCAGCTTTTTGTACCCCCCGCTGGCTCCACCCCTGATTGTGAGAAACATGCCATCGTTCCATTTAATTTTTTTCCTTCATCCAATGTGAAGCATGCCTTTCGAAACTGACCAACACGGAACTCGGGAGTCGGGGTGTTGTGATGAAACTTTGCCTTCCCTAAAAAAGAACATAAGGTGCAACAATGATTGTTGCGGGACAAGTATATTTAACTATAAACTATGGGATGAAAACATGCGTTATATTCCTAAAACAACACCACTTCGGTTGATATTACGAACGTCAAACTTGCTTCCGTGTTTGTTGAAAATGTGCGTTTATTTCTGATTTTGTCAGTTTGCTTTGTGCATTCTCGTTTTAATATTGCAAATGTGCACTGATTAGAAATTATCGTCTTGTTGCTGCTGTCATTGTACGGGGACCTGTAGGAGCAGCCCAGCTGCCTATACGCAGCTTTTATTCTGCTATTCCTTCTGTTTATGCATGTATACGTGTACCTAATTGGCAATAAACTTCAACTTCAAATTTCAACATACTACGCTGAAAAACAGCGCGCCAAGACATGGCAACGAAAAGAAGCGCACATACACAGAGCTAACCAGCAATCGCATTTATTGGCGCGCCAATGGCCATCATTGCCAACGTCAGTAATACAGGCGACGAAAACAACGGTGCCGCTTCCAGTGAAGGGCATGGCGCCATTATGTTTTTTCGTGTCCTCTTTTTGCGAGCAGGCTAATCGTATACAGCAGCTCACGACGACCAATCACGACAATAAGTGAGTTCGTATCTTTGTTCAAAATTGTGTGTCACCCCTGTGTTTGTGCTGGCCATTCATATTCAAAGTTAAATGGCTTGGAATTTTATTAATATTCTCGGAATCAATAAACCTATCATGCACGTCGTCATTTGGCTCTCCGCGGTCATCGGTCTACAGTGCTAATATTTCTTTGCGCTGCAGGGTGCACATACGCAACTTTTGCAGCAGTAGCCTTTAACATACTAAAAAAAACAAATACAAAAAACTCTCTGTAGTGGCGACACGAGAGATAAATACGGTATACAAAGTAAGAGAAAGAGAAAATGCAAGCTGCTACCATAATGTGCCCCTGAAATTGGCGTTTTCCTTACACGCCATATTCGTATCAACCGAGTAGTACCAATTGGGGCACCTTGACGTGTTGCCTTGTAACACGGCCGGTTTCCAAGGCGCGTGCTCCCTTTCCAAGAAAGTAGACAGGTAGTCTACTTTCTTGGAATTAGCGAGGATTGGCGATGCCCCGCCGTGGTGGTCTAGTGGCTAAGGTACTCGGCTGCTGACCAGCAGGTTGTGGGATCGAATCCCGGCTGCGGCGGCTGCATTTCCGATGGAGGCGGAAATGTTGTAGGCCCGTGTGCTCAGATTTGGGTGCACGTTAGAGAACCCCAGGTGGTCGAAATTAGCGGAGCCCTCCACTACGGCGTCTCTCATAATCATATGGTGGTTTTGGGACGTTAAACCCCACATATCAATCATTCAGGATCTGCACTTGAGTTTCATGTAAAGCTCAAGCGAAATGCCACCCTGGGGTGCTATTCTGGACATTAGAATGACGTCATGTTGTCAGATTCCGCCATTGATCAACCGCGTTTGTCATGATTTTGCGCATTCACGTTCATTGACCCCGTGTTGCTCTTTCTATAGAGCGCTGGCACGGCTACATGTTTTGCAGAAGTATCTATTGACGGAGGTAAAATACAGATAACTACATGGAGTAGCGACGTACACGGTAACGATAAAAAAAAAAGAGCGTGCGCCGCTTGCTTTGCAAAAGTGAACTGCTTGCACCTGTCGCATATTTTCATTCAGCATTCCCATACCTGATTTAGCAATACTGAATCAGTGCAAATTGAAAAAAAGAAGGCGGCGCTTGATGCTGTTGCACAGACGCCCACTCAAATATATACGAGCACCGTGGTATGCCGTGTTGATACATAGAATAGCTTCGCGTAGAACTCGTGCCGCAGTCAATACAGAGCATTGACGCCAAGTCTAAAACACCCGTCGGAACCATTGTATAAACAATTCAATATGGTAAGTACTAAATGTCTCCTTTTTTTCAACCATGCTATAGAATTGTTATTCTACTTTCATTTGAATAGTGAGAATTGGGGCTTGAATTTCATGTTAAGGTCAAGCCAATTAATGCTGCACTTAACATCTGCGTACACTAAGTCGGATTCGCGGGTCAGAGCAATTGAATATACAGCAGCGCACTATATCAAGCACTAAGTGTTTTTTTTAATCGCTAGTCGAAAAGATATCACTATGTTATTGTGAATAGCGACGATTGGCACTTGAGGCTTACGTGGAACACAAGCCAAACGCTGCAGAGAACGTCTGCACAAAGTCTAATTCGACAGTCAGGTCAATCATACATGCCACAGAATCCACTACAGTAACCTACTTGATTCTTCAAACACTATGGGACAGATGGTCTACTTTCTTTTCATTAGCATGGATCGGAGTCTGAGCTTCACGTTGGGCACAAGCCAAACACTGTACAGAACATCTGCTCAAAGTATGATTTATCAGTCAGGCAAATCGTATACAGGAGCTATAGTTTACTACAGTATAAGCACTGCGTACGTGTTTATTGAACCGCTATGAGACAGGTAGTCTACTTTCTTGGAATTAGCGAGGATCGGCTGTTGAGCTTCATATTAAGCTCAAGCGAAATGCCGCCCTGGGGTGATATTCTGGACGTTGTCGAATGACGCCATGTTGTCAGATTCCGCCATTGATCGATGCTAATTGACCAAGTGAGCTGTTACGACCTCTCTGATTGGCTTAAAATGCCACCATTACGGAATTTCACGATATAACGGAATTAGACAGTGTCCACAATACCACTCGTGGACATCGATACACAGAGTCTAATTCATAAGTGAGGCAGTGCAGTATGTTAAGTACTGCGAGTTCTTTTAAGAATGATATGGCACACAGATATTTTTTGTGATTAGCAATTTTGTGTGCTTCAGCTCCACGTTGGGCTCCTGCTAAACGCTGTTGTAAACGTCTTCACAACGTATACTTTTTCTATGTCTTCTAAACCTCTGGACGTTTGGCGATCATTGTTTCTCACGTGGCATCAAACTGAGTGTTCACGGTTCCTATTTCTTAATCTTGTTTGTTCATTGGCCGGGGTTAAGACGTACACTACGTGCTTTTTTTTCACGTGATTCCTAGCACTCGCTTTCCATTAATTCCTGTGAACTTGCCAGTATCTACAACTTCAAAACTGCAAGCTTCGCGTCTGCTGTTAGAAGAAGCAGCAGTCTACGAGGTGATACACGTGCATATCGTGAAACACGAAGGCGAAAAAATGTCAAAACGTTCGTGAGCCGACTATATAATTCTGCAAACGACGACGGGACGAGCACCGGCTTGAGCTAAGAATGGCAGTGAAAAACAGAGGTGTTATGGCAGCAAGTGAAGCGCCAAACATCGAAGGACGGTCGCTTGCGTCAGTTTATTTCAGTCTATTTCAACATACGTATAATAGACTGACATTCGTATAATAGACTGACATACGTAAAATAGACTAACACAATAGACTGACATTATAATAGACTGACAGTATATTAGACTGAAATAGAGTGACATATGTCAGTCTATTTCAACATATGTATAAGAGGGCACAAAACTGGAAAGCACAACACTTTCTGTCGTTCTTTCTATTTTTATTACATGTGCCATTTAGTTTGTTCCGTGTGTTTGTTACAGACGTGGTTCGAACAGCGAAGCCCCACGCCAAAGCAGATGTCTTCCTCACGGAAATGCAGGCCGCAGGAGCGCGGTGTATTCAATGCAGCCGTTTACCATTTCTAAGGTTCACAACCAAAGCGTCCCGCAGCATCTTACCCAAGGAGGTTTTGAAAAAAAAAGATGTGCTAGAGTGGAAGCTCCCGCAAGGCTCTGCCAGCAGTAGTCAAGCCTGGTTTTGCCCTCGAAATATCTCAGAAACATGCTCTTTTCTGGTAGAGCCCACTTAGACATCAAGTGGCTTTGATTTGTTTGTCTAGAGGCTACGTTAATATTAAATTAAGTTATAGTTGTTTCCGGAGGAATAATCTGCAGAGATTAGTATTGGTGACTTAATATCCAATAAAATTTGCCTTAAATTGGAGGCTTTCTAAAGAAATTTAGTAACTCTTCTGAGTACTATTTTACACGAAAAGGTTGTCACATTAAACTCTTTGGGCACGTGAGGAAAACGCTCCTTCTCAATCGCCGAACGCTAACAGCTCAACATGCCCCTTGTAAGATGGCTGCCGCACCCACCATCTTGAGGTTGGCACGGCTTCACTCGTGGGCGAAAATTTCCACTCCAGCAATGTTTATTTAAACCTCTTGGTGTTACCCTGCGCACACGTATGAGTGGTGACGTACACCGGCCTACGTTGCGTCATCCTGCACTGAGGCTCTGGCTTACCTCATAAAACGCCTTCAAAGACAGCTGCTAGCAGTGATTCTGAGTGCTGCCAAGTGCGCCGCCGAAACGTCATAGCCTCCCCACTTAATGTGAAGAACAGCACAAGTAGCATTGTAGAATTTCGTTTTCAGTATGTCGGTGCTCACAGAGCAGAGCAGACGACCCTGCCAGTGATCATGCCTAGCACGTCACGCACAAAATGACGCCAGCTTTTTCCGGTGGTGGGCCTCGCGCTCGATAAAAGAAGGATGCAAAACGCGCGTGCGTCAGGCCTCACGCAAATTTCGTTTCTTCTTTTCCTCGCCGCAGTCGACTGGAATGACATTCTCCGACGAGGCCAAGGCAGTGAACGAGGCGCGAAAAACGGACAAGAAGTACCGCTACGTCATCTACAAGGTAGTCGGAGAGAGTGTAATCGACGCAGAGGCAACGGGAGAGCGTTCAGCCCCGCTCGAGAACTTCTTGGAGAGTTGCGACCGAGAGAAGCGGGCCAGTGCCGGTGCGCCGTGTACGACTACCCTGTCACAGAGATGACGGAACTACCACGGACAAGACATTCCTTATCACATGGTGAGATCCAGCTGCTCATTTTAATGGGGGTCATCACTTAAAGTCAAAATGGTGAAAGAAAGTGAGGGGGGGGGGCGACTTTCTTGTGTTCAGAAGTTAATTAATTATCTTTACAAGAACCCGCTCACAGGATAAATAATGTTAATTTGTCCTTAATACCTAATTAATGGTAATCTATCGTGACAGGTGATATGAGGGTGTATGACCTGAACTGAAAGGAGGGGGTATGGGTGCTGACACAAGCTGTTGGGGGTTGGGGGCAGTCGCCCACTGCCCCCTTTCTCCTCTGGTTCAGCCAATGAGTCAGTGATACATGTGTTGTTTGTGCTCAGGAACGCCTGGACTCGACTCTCCGCTCACAAGAGAGTCGAGTCCCAGCGTGGCTCAAGAAAGCAAACTGTGGGAATGAGAGCTGATCGAAGAGAGAAAAGCGAGTCACTTCATCGAGATGGGATAGCTCACGGGCTGAAAAACGGTGGGTGCCCTGTGACACTCGAACCTACCACAAAAGATGCTAAGTAAGTTCAGTGACTTTGGCAAAAGGAAGAGAAAGAAAACCTACAAATACATAACGAAAGACAAGAAAGGGTCACAATTTTCGGTAATAATTTGTGTTGTGTTGGTTCGTCCTTATCCACTCAGAAATGCGGTGGCAAAGTTTTAACACAGTTGGAAGATAAAGAGTGGGTTTGGAATTGTACAGTACATAGTTAGTGACCACATATGTACATAAATGAACTTAGGGCTTAAGCTTTGCAGTAAATGCTGATGAAGAGGTGATTTCGGCGATAAAACTCGATTGATCGCCTGTCGTGGTGAATGTAGTTCTGGCTTAAATCAAATGTATATAATCTTCATACGCAGGCTTCCTAACGGAGCCAACACGAGGCAACGGATGCTGTACTTAAGCGCATATGAGACACTCCGACAGCAAGTCACTGGGATCGATAAGTTTCTCGAGGCGGGCAGCGTCGAAGAGCTCGAGGATTCGATGAAAGGTGCCGTGTGGCAGTGAAAATATGATGTATTGCAGACAGGCGAATAAATGGTAACGAAAAAATTGCATACTTAGATCGAAAACGATATTTTCAATGTATCGTCACTCGGTATCGCACCACATATTTATTCTGCGTTATTCAAGACGTTGCAACTACATATGCCACAGGCCTTATACTCTAGTTACCGATTACTGTTATATGGGCTGTCTCAAAGACAATTACTGAACACCAATCTAGACGGTAAGTAAGTTCGCATCTTAATTTTGTTCAAAAATATGCGTCACCTCTGCGTCACGTATACACTAAACCGTTGCGCTGGCAACACAGACGTGCGACACGTACAAATAACCCTAACGTTGCGTCACAAAGTCCGCATCGCACAATTGTTTGTGCTCCAGCGGATCTGTTTCAGTGGTGTCAGTGCAGGCCCTGCACATTCACAGGTCCCGCGGGTCAATAAGCGTACGTGCGTACGACAATTGTCGTCTCACATTGTGGAAAGATAAGGCTTTTCACGTTAACAAAAATGCGAGACCTCTCTAGCCAAGCAGACGTGACTGATAACGCATTCCGGAATGGAACGGCGCTCAAGTTTAGCGAGACACGCACACTCGAGTATAGTCGGACTATGGCGCTGAGCCGAGAGGCAATCGATTCTCAGCCAACTTGCGATGCGTAACGCCTCCGGGCCAATTTATACAGGAGACCTTGTGCACAAATGCGACGCTACAATGTCGACTGCAAGTATGATAAATATTTCAGCTTTGTAAAAATTGACAGATCCCACGTAGAGTGGGAATCGATTATATGCGAAGCACGATTGAGTATATATGGTTGAACTAACACATTAAAATCAGCACAACGTTACGAGGCGGACGTAAATTATGCCGTCCATGAATTCAATGTCATGATTATCATGTTCACGCCTGGCATTTGTGCTCGGTCGTCCATTTGTCACAAAACGAGCACTCAAAAAGGGCGAGCCGCGAAATTTTCGCGACGAAGCGCCAAGAGATGCCTCGAAGTCAACGATAAAAAAAGAAAACAAGCATCCAAAGACTCTCCGGGCGCCCGTCCCTCTCCCCTCGGAATCGTAGGTTCGCCGACGAGCCTCCTCGCATCCAGCAAGCCGTAGAAAGTTCTCGATAGAAAAGGGCGTGGTGATGCCGGGTTGCGTCATCCGTCGCGGACGGCCGTAGAACCATCCCGCCCTTTCCCCCAGCCTTCGCTGCGCATCGCGCCGACGAAATGATGAGAATTTTCTGGAATCTCGCGCGGAAGGTATTTAACCAAGCAGCAGAGATGGGAGATCAGGAGAAGAAGAAAGTATGCGCCAGAGTGTGTAGGGTGTTCCGCCGTGTAGTCGGCGAAGGTTTTGTCTTCAGCGACAAAGCTGGAGAAGAAGGAAGTTAGCGCCAGTGTGCATGGGCTATTCCGCCGCGTCTGTCGGTGAAGGTTTTGTCCTTAGTGACAAAGCAGGAGAAGAAGAAAGTATGCGCCAGAGTGCGTAGGGTGTTCCGCCTTGTGGGCGAAGCCTTTTGTCTTTCGTGACAAAGAAGGAGAAGAAGAGGATTTCCACCTGAGGGGTGAAGACTCGTGCTACAGGCAAGAGTGTGTGTCTACCGCTATCGAGCGAAGACGCGTGGCAACAGCTGCGTGTGGGAAGCCGACGTGTTTCCGACGAAGAAGTTTGAAGTTTGGAGAGTGGTCAATTGAAGACGCGAGGTTTCCTGGAAAAGAAACTTCGGAGGCAGCGGAGCGACAACAACACTGGACTTTGAGTGAGTGATTCTCGGAAGAGTATCATTCAGACTTTTGTTCCAAGAACTTTGGACTGAATAAATTTTCTAACTCTTTAGTCTTTAAGTGTCTTGGTTGTTCGATGCATGCGACTGCATTGTAGTGCGTATTGTTGTCTGTGTCCGTTGTTTCGAGTGTGGCTGATTGTACTGTGTAGTACGCTGTTTGATTGGTGACATATTGCATTCAACTATTGCCGAGTGTGCATACTTGTGTATTGTTTTGATCTGCCGTAATTGATAATATATTTTTGTTTTCTTTATCAACTCTCGGCTCTGACTTGTTCTTTGGGCCACAGCCGGCGTCCGCTGGCGCGCCAAACAGGACCACTTCTAAATTGTCCACGCTTTCGTGGTGCGGTTCGGGGGGCCGATACTTCGGCCTTTGGAATTAGCCCGGCGATCGCCTCCCTAATTAACGGGACCTGTGACACCATTCACGTCACGTAATACCAAATTTGGCATGTGAAGCTAGCGAAACGGCTGCGAGCGCGCTAAGAGCATAGCATGTATAGTCATGTTTTATGTTTGGATATTATAAAGATGGGTAAATCTCGCGTACAGTTGGAATTGATTGTATGTGGAGCACGAATGAGGAAGGATGAATTGTCACATTAATATCAGCAGAACGTAGCATGTAGTCATGTTTTAAGCGACACGCACCGTAAATCAGTCATGCATAACCCACGGACTTTGTAGAGAACAAATGACGCTGCTTTACCGGATAAGAACCGCCCCTGCATACACGCCGGCTTGATCGTTCAAGACTGGATGAGGACTTCCCCGTTTTGTGCCACGCGTGGTGACATCGGCGACATCGAACATTTCATTTGGCTGTGCCCGCAGGTTGACAGAGAAAGAACAGAGATGGTACGCAGCTTGCAGAAAGGTTGTCAAAAGCACGAGACATTTGAAGATGTCATTTTTGCTGAAGGACCCACGGCGACGAGGAAGAGTGTGCAACGGATCCTGATGGCTTTCGTGCGAGACACTGGGCTGAATGGCATTTGGGGTCCCTTATAATTCAAGAGATGCTCAAGCGTAACAATTGCCAGCCATTTAGGTCAGGCTAACCTCACGTTTGCAACATCGCAATCACCCCCTACGTCGTGACACGCATGTCATAAATATGATGTTTGGACGTGTCACTTATCTTCTTCGTATATTCACGTCACGTAATACCAAACTTGGTACATGAGAAGCTAGCGAAATGGCGGCGAGCGCATTATGAATGTAGCACGTAGTCATGTAGTTACACGCATGTCATGTATGTTTGAACATGTCATTTACCTTCGTCATCCATTCACGCCATCCATTCACGTCATCATTGCTGATTGTTGTTTCATGACAAAGCAGTGTCAAGCCACGCGAAGTCCAACGGAACCAAAAGTACGAAGGTTTGACGAATTCGCGTACTATACGCATCTTCGAATGCTCGTTGAAGCGCCGTGCGTTGCAGCTCCCACAGACACTATAGCACCATAGTTCCCTTTAGTGTACTTATAGGAAACTCTGTGCCAGACCTGTCACCCCCCGAAAGCTTCCTGCAGGTAACGCGGTTTTCCATTGCCTCTTAGACAGGAGCCACCTCACGTAGTCTTTGCAATGCCTCTGTGACCCGGCCACCGTTGACTACGTTGTCGTGCGAAGACGTCATCATGCGACGTCACTGCTACGTCATAGTGTAATGCCGACTCGGAACGGCTGTCAGTTTTCGCGTTTATTGAGGCATCTAAGCCTTTCGCTTTATATAAATGCTGGAGTACAGCCAAGAATCGGTGATCTCACCAGCATAGCGAAGAATAAAGGGGCATGCACGCGAATGTGCTTAAAGTTCCACAGACGTGAAACCATCCGCATTGCGCGAAGCCTAGGCAGGGCCAAAGCATGCAGTGCGCCGATGTTTCCCAGAGCAGAATCATTATTATTTACTGCTTTACTAGCTACCGGTCCCCTAACACACACTCATTTAGCAGGTTTGTTTCAGAAAGTCGTGTTTCATATAGATGACTTTACCATTGAGAGACGCCCGTTTGTGTGTCTGGATTTAGATTTAAAAAAAATTGATCGTGCTTAGTAAATTCTGTAGATGATTCAACACATCTGCTAAGCCAAACGTAATGTTTGGGATTGTGACTTCCAACCTGTAACTCGTAATATGCATAGCATGGAGCATTAGGAATTGGTAGGATCTACTCAACTTTCCCCCTCAGTCCCCAGCAGCTGCGAAGCAACTGACCACGGCGGCGGTCAGATCTGCAACGCAGCAGAGGGTGCCAAGAATCTCTGGATCCGGACAGGCCGCCATTGGAACCTGAACTTTGCAACGTTTAACGCTAGAACCTTATCTAGTGAGGGAAGTCTAGCTGTACTATTTGAGGAGCTAGAGGTTGTAAAATGGGATATAATAGGGCTCTGTGAGGTTAGGAGGACAGATGAGGCCTATACGGTGCTACAGAATGGGCACGTCCTTTGCTATCGGGGCTTGGCTGACAGAAGAGAACTGGGAGTGGGGTTCCTAATTCACAGAAACATAGCTGGCAACATAGAGGAATACTATAGCATTAATGAAAGGGTGATAGGTATCGTAATGAAACTGAATAAGAGATACAAGATGAAGATGGTACAGGCCTACGCGCCTACATCCAGCCATGATGACGCTTCAGTTGAAACAGACGCGGCCTGCCATTGCGAATGACTAGCAGGCCGCGTCGGTGCGGCTGCTGTGGACGCGTGCCTAAATCAGTCTAAACCCAAAAGCAGTGTTTTTCTTACACGCCTTTATATAGTTTCAACCGTGTATACTCGGCGACAACTTTTCTTGGCATTGGAGCCAAGGCTATACAGAGCCAAATCGCGGGCATCCTATACCGCCAGTGAATGTAGTTCCACAACAGCGCCCGTATTTTCACCGGCAAATATACACCTTTTCACAGGAAGGAAAAAAACACCGCCATGATGGGCTGTGCGCGGGAGTACAAAGGATATCAGGGCGCAGCGTTTCCAGTGCATTTTCGAGGGGACGCGTGAATTTGCACAGCCCAAGGAGGGCTATGGCGGCGCCCAGGGAGGCGTTATAAGTTCTCCCTTTCGATGGGGAGCTATTTCAGACTGGACTTAGCTGTCACCATTAAGATAGTCGTATTTACTTTAACTTATTCGTTGTGATTTCGCGTTTTCGAACGCGCGAGAAAGTCCCACCTTTTCACGTGCACCTCAAACGTGTCTGCATGAAACGCTGATGGTGCGCCCCCGTCACTTTCCATGGCTACTTCACGTAGTGCTGCATGTGCAGAAGCTCCGCCTCCGTAGCTTTCCCTTCTACGCCAAGAAAAGTTGTCGCCGAGTATAGTAACGTCGCACGTGCACCATGATGTGTTGCGTTCGAGTTACAAGTTTCCTTAAAGCCTGTTTCACATGCGAGCGAACGAGCGGCGGCGGTCGCGGCGATGAGCGGCAGGAGGACGCGCGTTCGTTTCACATGCGCCGCTGCTGTTGCGCGACGCCCGCCGCTCTAGCGGGCAGTGTTGTTCGCGGAAGGCGCCGGTCAACCGCTGTTTTCAGCGGTATCTGGAAGCCACGTTCTTCTCCAAGTGTTCTTCATTTGGCGCCCCTGTGCTACGAGGTTCATCATCAATAGCCGCTTGACTTTTACGCGTCTGTACACTGATTGAATTAGTTTTAACATGTATCTTACAACAAATAAGCAACGTTTGCAGTTGATTTCTGTTTTGTCCTGGCTTTTTCACGTATGATTCTTGTTTCGCGCTCATATGTCTGATATAACTGACCAACCATGGAGAAGCAAAAAAAAAAAAGTGTTTGCTTGTATGGTTTTATTATACAGCTGTTCTAGCTAGGTGAATGCTTAAGAACTGCGAGCGTGTTTTGTGCAGCACTTCCCATGTTTCTCCGATTCATTGCTTTTGCTTTCAGCGATTTAACATTGGGATGCTGAACGAGGTTTCTGTCAGCCCAGTATACACAACTCGCAAAATTTATACCTAAATTTTTGTACCTGTTCATGCGAGTCAAAATAACAGTTTTTATAAAAACTCTAAGTAGTATTTTGTATGTTGTATTCCGTTTACATATGTACACATATCTTTTTGTAACAACTTTTGGTGTGTCTGTGGATGTTGTGTTCTGTCGCAATGTTCTGTTGGATTGTAATTGATGTTCACTGTCTGTGAGAATAAATTTCTCTAAACACAGTAAGCTTCGGTAGTGCTTGTGGTCACCCTTTGGCTCGTGCAAACACATCCTTCATTGGGGTTTTCTGAATGGTCTACATCTCTTCTGGTGCTCGAATTCGTATGCTTCCACCCTAAACAGTAAGCATCTTAGATTTTTCAATGATTCAGTAAAGCACTCCAGGAAGAGTTTCAACAACGGCAGGTAGCATAACATATGTGATACGCTCGTTGTCCCGGTTCTTTGGCTGCTGTATATACACTTGTGCGCGGCGCAGGTAAGGGACTACGCAGCAATTCTTGCTTTAGCTTGCATTTGCGTCCATAAATGATGCGGTGGTGAGCAGGTAAGCCGAAGTATGACATAATTTCACACAACACACCTTTGCTGTCGGCACGTAGCGACATTCAATTGGTAGCATTCGACCGTGTAATTTAGATGCATGCTTCTAGGCATGTATTGCTGCACTGGTGCCTGAAATCAACAGCTGTTCTTCGTTATCTACGCAGTGTATGTTGTGCTCGCGACCGAACACCTATTTTCGCCTAGCCAGCCGCCCATTCCTGCACTGAGTGTTACGGAAAGCAGCTGGCCAGTGTGGCAGGACCTGTCGACAGCCTTCAAACTTGAGCGCTCTGCGGTGCAATTGCGAGAAAAGCGTCGCAGAGGACGCGGACAAGTCAGCCAGGGTTTTAGTGAGAAATCGAGGTGTTGTTGAAGGGGAGAACAAAAATAAAGGCCCCTGATGAGTGCCTTAGTTCCCGAACCATGACAACAAGCTTCGCGCCCCTTCTTTGTTGAGTCACATCACGAAATTCCTTTTCAGTGACCTGTGTGGAATGCTACTTCTTAAGTCGACTACCGTAGCAGCCGTCTTTGCTCTCTCGTTCGTGTGAAGCCTTTCATCTATGCATCGCGTCACCAAATGCCATCATTTGTTAAACCAGCAACAATTGCTGCGACACAGAAGTACGGCGTGCCATGCGGCTCCTTTACGTGGGAATAACTTTCGATGAAAACGCAAAAACAGAAAAAAGAAAGGAGTAATGATGTTATTGAAATAAAAGAGGAACCGCACGCGATTGTCATTACGGCGAAAGCATCGTCGAGAGCAACGAAAGGAAAACAGCTGCACTTCGACTTCACCAGTGAACATGACCAGTTCAAGCCACGACGTTTACCTTATGGAACAATGCGACTTCGGCAATTTGTTCCCAAAGAGTGCTCTTCTTATGGTTCTTGCGGAAATCCTCCATCTTGACGTCCCAAAGAAGAGATCGTTTCACAACTTCTATCAGCGACTTGTTGAAAGCAGCGCGAAACATTTGTGAGCCGGGAGAGGACGGATGTCGTCTGCTACTCAGTCGAAGCGAGTTGTTCTGTGGAACCAATTCCTCGCAGCGCGCGCGTCAACTTCTCGACTCCACCCCCGTCATCACGTGTCAAACGACGTCACTGGTCGCTCTGCCGCTTGTGCCGCTAGCGAATTTTTCCAACTCTGGCGAATTTCACAAGGGCGTCTAGTCGCCGCGGTAGAAACCTGTTTTGGCTCCGCTCTTGGAGCAAAATAGCTCGCATGTGAAACAATCTTAAGATTTTCCAATTTCTGGACAAATTTTATTGGAGATCTAGTCATCCATAGTAATCCCTACAGAGTAGTTTCTCCAGACACAACGAAATGTTATTTTATAGTTAGCCTATAACGTTTGCATTCAACAGACAAAAACCATGTTATCTGAAAGCGGGCACTACACTAAATAGAGCATTATTCCCACGCAAACCAGGAGCAAACCATGGCTTAACCATTGCCGGTACAAAATAGTTGTTGAGATGGTCAACTCAAACATTTTGTTTTTTTTCAATCCTCCTTGATTTGCATAGCACGCGCGTCGCGCCAGCATTCTCGCAATGCCAGGAAAAAAAACGAAAAAAAAAACGAGAATGTGTGCAAGCGACCGCCGGTTTCTTTCTACAGTTGCACAGCCCCGGACGAGCTGGCATGCGCAAACACAGCTTATTTGTCTGGTTGTAGATAATTGCGCAAAGCAAAGAGAACAAGAAACATTCCACCATTTTGAAACTCCTCTCACGCTGGCGACAAGATGGCGGATGCCGGGAGATCGGTTGCGTTGTCGGCTGGGTATATATAAGGCAATCGAGTCGCCCACTCCGCGTCAAGCCAGTCTGCGTGCACGTAACAGGAGCGAGAGTATTTCGTAGAAGCGTCCTGTGCTTCGACCAGGGAACAAACTTAGCAACTGCCGCCATGGTAAGCAACATTGCCTTCTCTTAGCCCTTCGCTACCCTACATTCGCTAGAGAGTGTATATCTGCTCTTCTACTCCGTGATCTAATTTTTAGGACGAAGCTCGAATAGGCGTGGGTCTGTCCATCCCTTGTATGTATGTATGTATGTATGTATGTATGTAGTATGTATGTATGTATGTATGTATGTATGTATGTATGTATGTATGTATGTATGTATGTATGTATGTATGTATGTATGTACGTATGTATGTATGTACGTATGTACGTACGTACGTACGTACGTACGTATGTATGTATGTATTGTATGTATGTATGTATGTATGTATGTATGTACGTACGTACGTACGTACGTACGTATGTATGTATGTATGTATGTATGTATGTATGTATGTATGTATGTATGTATGTATGTATGTACGTATGTACGTATGTATGTATGTATGTATGTATGTATGTATGTATGTATGTATGTATGTTATGTATGTATGTATGTATGTACGCACGTACGTGTGTGTGTATGTGTGTATGTATGTATGTGTGTATGCATGTACGTACGTACGTATGTATGTATGTATGTATGTATGTATGTACGTACGTACGTATGTATGTATGTATGTATGTATGTATGTACGTACGTACGTATGTATGTACGTATGTATGTATGTATGTATGTATGTATGTATGTATGTATGTATGTATGTATGTATGTATGTATGCATGCGTGTATGCATGCGTGTATGCGTGTATGTATGTATGTATGTATGTATGTATGTATGTATGTATGTATGTATGTATGTATGTATGTATGTATGTATGTGTGTGTGTATGTATGTATGAAGTGAAGCATGTCTTTCGAAACTGACCAACATGGAACTCGGGAGTCGGGGCGTGGCGATGAAACTTTGCCTCCCCTGTAAAGAACATTAGGTGCAACAGCGATTGTTGCGGGAAGGTATAGTAAACAAACTATGCGATGAAAACATGCGTTATGTTCCTAAAAACGCACCACTTCGGTTGATAATACGAATGTCAAACTTGCTTTTGTGTTTCTTGAAAATGTCCGTTTCTTTCTGATTTTGTCAGTCATTTGCTATGTGCATTTCCGTTTTAATATTGCGAAAGTGCACTAATTGGGAATTCTCGTCTTGTTGCCGGCGTTATTGTACGGAGACGTCGGAGCAGCCCAGCTGCCTATACGAAGCTTCTATTCTGCTCTTCCTTCTGTTTATGCATGTATACATGTACCTAAGTGGCAATAAACTTCAACATCAACAACTTCAGCATACTATGCGGAAAAAACAGCGCGCCAAGTCGTGGCAACGAAAATAAGCGCATATACACAGAGCTAACCAGCAATCCAATCTATTGGCGCGACATTGGCAATCATTGCCCCGGTCAACCATACAGGCGACGTAAACAAGTGCCGCTTCCAGTGACGGGCCTGGCACCATTAAGTTTTTTTCGTGTCCTGTTTTTTTTTTTTTCGCCGCAGTCGGCTGGAGTGACGGTGTCCGAAGGGGCCAAGACTGCGTACGATGAGTTGAGAAGGGACAAGAAGCACCGCTATGTCCTGTTCAAGCTCACCGAAGGGAATGTAATCGAAACGGACACCACTGGAGAGCGTTCGGCCACCGTCGCGGACTTCCTGGAGAAGCTGCAGCACAGCTATGCTGACCAGTGCCGCTGGGTCGTGTTTGACCACACTGTGAAACGCGAGGACGGGGCTACAGTTGATCAGAAAGTGTTCATATGCTGGTAAGTACAGCCAGTAGGGGAGTAAATCCAGAAATTTAACAACTTGCATGGTGATCTTGCCATGGCGGCCATTTTCGTTAATAAATCTAGCTTTTAGGTTTAAGACCACAGATCTTTACGCCTTTTGCTGCGTCGTAAGTCAGTGCCTTCTTCAATTTTTTTTAAATGGAAGAGGCGCTGGTAATGCGAACGGGAATTATCACCACCATGAGCCGTATACACTATTAGAAAAAAGGTAGCAATACTTCCTAACTTTGTGGTAGTAATTGTTTGTCCCATATGTTACAACTCTGGTAGTAAGCACAGTTAGTAACGGCGAGGACGGTAACAGCTACTACCATTGCTGTTACTACCAGCATTTAGTAACAGTTACTACCATAGCCGTTACCACCCATGGGTAGTAACATTTAAAGGTTTCAAGAAAAAAAGTAACGGATACTACCCTGCTCATTCATTTTGGAATATTTTTTCTCCATTGCTAATGTTAGTCAATCAATGTTTCATTACTACACAACTTCGGGTAATCTAGCGTGGTTTGGCACGATCACGAAGAATACTAGACCTAAGAAGTTACAGTTTTGACGCATACAGTATGAAGTAAGCGTGGGGTATATATAGCGCCTACTTTGCAGAGGCATGTCTGGCACAGGGGAGCACTTGTGTTTCAGGATGGATTACAAATGTGAAGCTATAGCACTATAATATACTACCTGGTTAGGTGCGTTTGGGGACGTAGCACAAGACTTTTAATCAGCCTTAGTTATAAAAAATTATATGTCATATCTATTCATTATAAAATGGCCACAAAAAGTGGTATGTACAGTGGCCGAAACAAAGTACTGAACTCATTCAGTGCATTTCAATGCTTCACAAGGCTAGTATATCAGCGGTGAAAAGGTAATAATCGTTCTTGGGGTTTGACTTGCCAAAACAAAGGTAATATTTAGAGACATGCCGCAGTGGATTAATTGTGACCGTCGGGTTATTTTCCTCTACCGGTCTTGTTAATTTGCTGAAATTTACTAAGTTTGTTGTAGTTGTATATTACAACGCGAGTAGCACTTGCTTATGGTTCGTTAATTTGTGCTTCTCCGTTTCGACAATATCAGAATGACGTTTACATATCTCGGTTGCGTAATTTAAACAAAATGTATTTTTTATCTATGAATATCTTCTGCGTCATTTTCCCGTTTAATTATAATACGTTGAGATGGTTCCCCGAATAAATTATCGGAATCAAAATCACACTGTTTTGGATTAGATAGTCAACAGCCTGGTAGCAAAAAAGGTAGTAATGGGGCAAGAAAGGTAGTAATGTCTACAGTTACTACCTCTTTTATTGCCAGTTACTAACTATTTACTAACGTAGGTAGTAACAGGTCTCAAAAGGTTAGTAACGGCTGCAGCTAGTGACTTTACTAACATAGGTAGTAAACTACGTAGCAAAAGGTAAGTAACGACTCAAAAAAGGTAGTACGACTGCAGTTACTACCTGTTTGCTTGCAGTTGCTACCTTCTTACTAACTTTTTTTAAGAGTGTACACGCTCTTTTCATCCTTCTGCTTCACTACTACAACACGTGCGCCACTTTCTACGACGTGGAACACAAAAAACTGCGGCGGGCGAGTCCGCTACTCGACTAGAAATCACGTAACACCATGCAACTGCTCGTGTGGCTGCTAGAATTATCTAACATCACGTAACTGCTCGCGTGAATATCCCCCAATGTCTAGTCACGTGACCAATTTCACGTGATGATGATGATGATATGTGGGATTTAACGTCCCAAAACCATCACATGATTATGAGAGACGCCATATAGTGGAGGGCTCCGGAAATTTTGGCCACCTGGGGTTCTTTAACGTGCGCCCAAATCTGAGCACACGGGCCTACACCATTTCCGCCTCCATCAGAAATGCAGCCGAGATTCGAACCCGCGACCTGTGGGTCAGCAGCCGAGTACCTTAGCCACTAGGCCACCGCGGCAGGGGCGACCAATTCCACGTCGCGAAACCACGTAAAACCTATTCACGCGACTAGAATCACAATATGTCACCACCTAACCGTTAGTCACGTGCCAAGTCTAGCCAAACCTAGCCATACTGCTACTAGCAAACTCTTAGCATCCTTTGCAAAAATCTTGGCATCAGTAGCAGAACCTATAGCTAGGTCGAAAACTATATAGCTGCACGGATAGTCCCAGCCTTGCGCCACTAAGCACAAGCTGCGCACTGACCGAACGACAGTTCTTTCTTGCAAACAGCGGTAGGCGGCCTCGGACGTACTAAGGCGCTTGTAGCGACGTCGGGGTGCGCAGGCTTTACCCACCCCAAAGCTCCCCACCACCTCTGTGATCACGTGACAAAAGGCACAGCAGCTGTCAAGCTGCTTCCGAGTACAGCGCGTCGTGGAGCTTTGGTGGCCGATGTTTGGTGGCCTTGTTTTTCCGGAGTCCGGAGTTTAATCGAAGTTAAATGCTACTATCATGGCGTTCTAGTGTTCCTGGTTTTTGGCGCACGGGAAATTTTTCTGTCTGTATCTGTTCGTATGTGGTCTCTCCCTCCCTCGTAAGCTTTGGATGTGGGCCGGGAGAACATCGCCGCTCGTTGCAGTGAAACTTGACTACGTTATTTGTATGTCACCCCCCCCCCCCCCTCTCCGAAATTTTTCTATTTTGCTTGCGCACGCCACGGTCAGGCTAGAGAGGAAGCGGCGCACGCTGTCGTGAAAGCGTGCGCCGCACCTTCTCTAGTCCAGCCGTGCGTACACATACACGCACACATACAAACGTATGCATAAACATACATACATAAACAATAATTGAGCCTCCCCTCAAAAAAAAAAAGAAAAAAATTCTGGCAACGCTCACGCCAAACGGTGCAAGTTAGCTGCAGCGGTAGGCGGAGTCGCGAATCACGGTGTCATCGCGCTTTTTGTTGGGCGTGCCCTTCTGACTGAAATTGAAGCGCTGTAATTTTCATGCACAGGAGTCCGGAGCAAGCCAATGTCAGGCAGAAGATGATATACAGCAGCTCAAAGAATATCCTTCGAGTGCAACTTGTTGGAATCAGCAGGGAACTCAAGGCGTCTGGCGTTGAAGAGATCGAGCTCGAATGAGATGAAAACAGCCGTACTGCGATAGTACGTACAGTATACTATGCACTATATTATGGACAAACGAATAAAGAGAAATATCGAAACTGCACAGTAACGAAAGTGTACTTGTTCTCTTTGCGTGTATATAGCCACTCTATGTCAACACTGGTGCTCTCAAAGGTAAGGAGGTTCAACCCGCTCCCCAATTTTGTTCTATGTTGTGCGCGTGATGCATGCGTTTCTATCTACAACAGGCACTGCGCCGTGCTCCCGACCGGGCTGCAGAAATTAGGTGCATTTCTCCTCTTCTAACCACTACCACCCCCACCACCCCATCTATAACGTGTGCTTCTTGCAATAGCAAACGTCTAGCAAAGTTTCGGATTTGCTCGCTATTCTTGTAGGTTTATCAGTGATACTTTGACAACGAAAAGAAAGACAAACATGAAGTAGCTTTTGCGCAGATGACTCCCCAGAGAGGAAGTCAATCTTCAGGTTTCCATTAAATATTGTAGGTAGACCAACGTACGAACAGTGCTCTAAAGCACGCTCCATAAATTCGATAAATGGTGCTACAGCACCGTTTGGAGTCGTATAAAGAACAACTAGCATGGTGTTCAGGCACTTCACAAGCACATGTTCATAGGGAACATCTATGATTGGGTATTCTTAAATAACTTCATAATTAAAGTTGCTTTTAAGGTACACAGCAACGCCTCCTCCTCTTTTGTCAGGTCGTGATACTAATATGCAGTTGTGTCCTAAAGAGCTTGCAGCGGGGCAGTCATTGGAAAACCAGGTTTCGGTGAATGCCAAGACGTTAATTCATAATCTAAGTTGTCAAAAGAAGGTTAACGGAGCCATGTTTGGTATTAAACTTCGTGCGTTAAGGTGAGGCGAAGAAAATTGCTTGGTGCCACGTAAGGTTTGGAGATGCCTAAATGAATCAGCATCGTGATAGTATGTTTTATATTGTGTAGCCATATGCATATATGGTACAACAACAGCAAAATATAGTGACATTCTCAGAGCTATCTTATGAGGTTGTGGTCACTGGCTGTCTTAATCCATATTACTCCGTCACGTTGTCTGCGCTGAACAAAGAATTTTTCATCCTCGACCCAGGCGAATTGGTATTCCATTTATCTCGCCTTTGTTTTCATTTGCCAGAACAACCGCTTATTCTTAGAAGTCACGTTTCGCTTGATAAAAACCTTTGATTTCTTTTTTCTTAGCTCACCTCTTTTTGCAAGCCAAGCGTCACGGGTACACCAGGCAGGAAAACGCATTATAATAGGCGATGACTTAGCCCCGTCTGTGCCTGCTCTGGTGCGCTGCTGTCGGTGGGTGGCTTCGATATCCTTTTCAGAGAATTTTTCAACTCAGGTTCGTCAGCCAAAAGATTCAGTTTTTCTATGACTTTCTCGTTAGTTTGTTCAGCTAGTCCATGGATTTACAGGTTAAGGCGTCTGCTATATTGATCAAAGTTATTAAATTCTTGCTTAAGCATTTCCACTTCTAGTTCATTAGTCTGTGCTTCGAGTTTCGGCAAACACGTCATCATACTTGCTTGACCTTTCCTGTACTGAACTTTCAATACCACATGCAGTGTAGGCAACGCCTACCAGAGCATCAGCTTGCGAATTAATTGAAAGGGGCAATGATAATTTCATCCGAATTTCACCCACTTTTTTTGCAAGGCTCATTTCCTGTTCCGCATTTTCTAGTTCAGCGCTCTTGCTGCTTCCAGCTTTTGACGTTTCACAAGCTGCGCAGCTCCACGTGTTCTTCACCGCTGTAGGTTTCTTCTTATATGCCGATTCTGCTATTCCTGAACATGCACCCAAACGATACGTTTATTGGGACGCTGAACACGACGGGTATGGTGTGTTCCGCACAACTTCATGACAAGAAATACGAGCGTCTGTCATATGTTAGTAGGGAGTTTTAGAATACCGTTTGCAAGCGCTGCGGGCGTAGCGGGCGCCGTATGAGTTTTAGAATAGCGTTTGCCCTGCTGCGATCGGCAACGCGCGATCGCAGCGACACCGTAGCCTCGAAACCAGCGTTTGCGGGCCACATGTGGGCCGCCGTTACCGCACGCAATTTCGGATTTTTTTGCGTGCGGTCCGTGAACGCCGACTCACGTTACGACGCATGCGCAGTGGCAGCGACCGCACCGCAAGGGCTCCCGGTGCGCTATTCTAAAACTCCCCAGTTACTCAGCAGCGGCGGCAACCACGTACTCAACTGGGATGTACTTAATTTTACATACAGACGAGCACCAACCTGGGAACTGGAACACGGTTTCCTTTGGCAGTCAGTCGACGAACCATACGGTGCCACCGCTACTGATTGTGTGCGACAGAACGCACGATGTCTTCTTCTTTTATTACATGTTCTCGGCAATGACGTCAGGCTTGTAATCCCACGTTGGTGCCACTGGTGGTTGCACTGAATGATGATAGCTCTGATTTATCTCGACAGGCGTCGATTCCTAAGGAAAGAAAGGCAGTTTTACTTTGTAGTCAGCCACGCGGTGCCACCGCTGCTGAATATGTGTGTTCACGAGTACCCGCGCATTCAAGCGTCCCCCGTCCCCCCCAATGCTCTCGAAAGCCTTTAATTAGAAAGGCAAGGAAATGTGGTTGCACCAAAAACGTGCGTGATTATTAGTGATTATGCGGATACTTTTTTTTTCTGTCATTATCGACATTCCTTCTAGCTTTAATTCGCTTAGAGCTGCGCAAATGACAAATTAGCTTTAATGCAAGTTAGCGCTGTTGTTTGTGTCCTACACACACACAAATATACACACACATCGTTGATCCCTTCGTCATAGGAATCGGTGTAACATGAAAAGGAAACGTTCCCTTATAGGAGTTAATGTTTTCTGTAGATTTATAAAGAGAGCTTATACAATGTCTGTTGGTGGTTGACAGCTGAATCACCATTTATAGTAAATGTATCCACGTTGACGCTCATAGTGGTACATCTTGGTCCCGACGTGCAACGTTCATGATTAATGACTGGTTAATGATTAAACATGCCATTGTGGTCATGGATGCCCATGGTTGTATGTAAACGGTGAGAGCGGAACCAAAGAAAGCGTGTGACATCCAGACGAAGTTGTACACCTAACTTCGGCTAAAGTCACCTAATCGCGGCATGTTCGAGTTATTGAAGGCCACTGCCCGATTAGAAAGAAACGTACCACTCGTTATTTGTGTCTTCTCTGTCGGCTGGCCGTTCGAGGATACTAGATACATTATAAAAAACAGAACCAGCAGATGACGATCCTGTCTACGTGGTATCTCGATACCTAATCAACGAGGTTAAGAAGACGCGGGGTGACATCCCAAGCTTGTCTGGAGCGTTTTTGAACCTTGCTGATTAAGTCAACATTCCTTGCAGGTCCACTGGGATGTAAGACGTACAAATTATGGGACGTTATGAGGACGTCCCTAGGACTTCGTGAGTTAATGGGAACAATTTAAATTAGCAGGATGCGGCGATGTCGCGCACCGACTTAGTGACACGTCGGTCGCTGTTTTGGGACGTCCCTGGGACTTTGCGTTATAGCGGTGTGCAGTGCTTTGAGCTGTCGCAACCCTTTTCGTTAGGTGTCTTACGGCAGTAACTGTGCCAGCAAAGGCACCAGGCTAAAGCGGTTTAACTATCTTACTTAATTTACAACACAGCGACCAAGTCCCCCCCCCCCTTTTTTTTTTGTCATAACTGCGGCCACTCAACCTGTTAAGCCTAGTGCACTTGTTCCGTCGATAGCTCAGTTGGGTAAAAAAAAAAAGTCGATAGCTCAGTTGGTAGAGCGGTGGACTGTAGAGGTTAATCTAACGCTGTCAGCCATAGGTCGCTGGTTCGAATCCGGCTGGACGGAAGTTTTCTTTTTATTCTTCGGGGCTTTTTTTCCCTCTTATGTCTGGTTTGTAACATTCCAACGCTTCAAGTCTTGATGGTTCGCGTAAGAGGACATGTGGGGTCGCACTTTAGCTAAGCCCCCGCGAAACCCTTCCTTCTTTCCGTGTCTTCAAAGCGCTCTGGTTTTTCAGACACTATTCGGAAGGTGCGAGGGAGTGAATATAAAAAGTTTGGAGAGCTTTCCGCTGTGCCAAAACGTGGCAGAATGAAAGGGAAATTATATATTACAGTGTGTATTCCAAATAGACTTCCCAGCGCTGGCTTGCTAAAACAGATTTGTGTGGTCTTCACAGCAAAACCGTGAGAAAACTGTGGTGGCTATTGCAATGACGCCCCCAAGAGGACGCTGCAATCAGCTATTGTGCCGAGCGCGTGAAGTTTAATTAAACATGCAGCGCTCAACCTTACGCATTTACGAAATAAAATGCCAATGCACCTCACTAGCTAAAGGGCCTGTAAGCCACCCAGAGGCAGAAATATAAATGTGGCGTTGAAGTGGTGTGCGAGTCATCAGCGAACGCTGTTGCAATTCTACGTCTTTCCTCATTTCGCTCTTTCCTTCACTAGGCTGCGTTCGTCAGCTGATTGGACCACCTCTACATGGGCTCTTCCTCAGCGTCCGAGGTGGAAACGCAACAGGCGCTTACGTGTGCGAGCAGAAAACAGACTTGCTTTCACCCAATGACAGCATCTCTGGCACGCAGCGTCGTTTTTATTGTATGCAGCGTCACTTGACGTCATGCCAGCTATTCTAAATAGAGGAAAGGTACGGTGTGCAGCACGCGAGCGTCCGTTGGTGTTTTACGGGCTCTTTAAAGCTTAACAATTAAGGTGCACTATTGCAATAAATCAACCCGTCGCTATATAGTTTAAGCTTAGACGTTTCACATCTCCAATGTCACGAATCTACTGTATCCTCACTGTTTGGATTGCAGAAAAGAAGAAAAAGAAAAACACCAGGCATACTAATTATAATTGTTTCTAATAATTACAATCACTTCTAGGAATATCCCCCACACTTACATTGGCATTATTTTCTATTGAATAACAACAACAACAAAAAAAAACAAGCCCTTAAATTTACCCTTCTTTCCTTTATGACAAATGGTGACATTATTTTCGGCATTTCGTCCCACAAAAGAGACACAAATAGTGCGCATAGTAATGCTGCTAAAAACTATGCGTCTGATTTGAAGAAGTCGAAGCCAACTTTCTAATCGTTCTACAAGTACAATAGTGCATAAGAAAACAATTCACAAAATCTGGCTATGCTGATCAAGCAGGCAAATTTGTGAACGTGTCATGAGAAGCAGAACAGCAGAAAGTAATCAGCGGGCTCCTGACGGACATCCTCTATTGATTTTGAACGACGAAGCAGAGATGAAAATGAAGCAGGGTAAACACAAGGATACCACAGAAAATGTTCTAAATTTTGGTGCCTCTGTATTGGGAAATTGCCACAGAGATGCATTCGATGCGGTGTGTAATTTTATTCAAGACTCTAAACGTTTTTCAACATAAAGCCCACGTTAACAGGTACTCAAAAAAAAAAAATTGGGTCGAAAAGTAATTTTCAAATCTGGATTAATCCGTGACATACCAAATTAATCGGGTTTGGCAATGGTCGGCTCCCGAAATCAAGTTATAGCTATTAGTGTCTACTTTGTTGTTGATTCTTTTTCTCACTATCTAAATCTTTGATTTATTTACTTTTTTTAACATACTGTCTTCATTATACAACTCCCCCCCCCCCTTTTTTTTTCGTTGTAAGCAATAATGCAGTTATCGTCCATATGAGACTATATGTTCTCTTGGCCAATCCCCCAGAGTGGGCACGAGCCATGGATTAGAGGATACAAACAAACAAACAAGGATACGCTGCTAGTGGTACTGCCAAATATACCTAATTCTTTGTCAACCTTCTTCTTCACTTTTGCTTCGTTTTATATATTCTGGTTTATGAAAATCTTCTGCACTTTTCACTTTTTAAGAAAAATTCTTATTGTTTATATCTACTTTCACTCTTTTTTTGGCAAGCGTTGTGTGAAAAAATTTCTATTATAAGGTACAGTGTGGCTACAGCTGTCGCACCCTTGTAAGTATGAGCCAAGATCTAGGCGACAAGACAAGACAAGGCGCAGTGTTTGTCAGCGCTAGCGCGGCGTGGCGCAGGCTGCGCAGCGTTCGTGCATCGGCTAGGGAGCCTAGGCGTGGCGTATGTAGGCTCCCTAGCGTCGGCCTTGCTGTTCAATCGTTCAAAATTTGTATGCACCACCCGGTCAGTTATAAGTTATAAGCATAGAGTTAATATACCACTTTAATATATAGCTAGTCTGTTGTATTGACCACTATTCCAAGACGCTAATGCAAGTGCTGAGCTGCGACTACAGCTGGCGCTAGAATACACTGGTGTGCAGTCATTACTACCTTGACAAACATTCACGTCACACACAAAAAAAAGAAAAAAAAAACTAGCAGCAAAATGGCTGAAGTGTTTTATCTTCATTTTTTTTTCTTTCGTGGACGCACAATAAAAAATTTAGGCAAGTTATCTTCATAGTATTTACCGAATATTGTGGATAACAATTCTAATGTGTGTAGCTGGCGTCTACACTCACCAGGCGCCGTCATTCTTGGCTTTGCTTTGCACGCTCGATTAAATTGTGCTCAGAATTAGTGAAGCAAACGTGAAACTTGAACAAGTGTTTTTTCTATTCTCCCCCTCCCTCCGTCCCCTCTTTCCGTTTTTCACCAATCTCCTACCGTTCAAGGTTAGCTCACGCCATTGGCATAGACATCATTGGAAACAAGAAAAAAGCCGCCGAGTCAACATGGCGACGTTTTTCGGCGAAGTCTTGCCGATTCATTCGCGAGCCGTCGACGACAACGAAGACGAGAACGCGGAGTCGCCCAGCGTGTACTTCGACCTAGACCAGAGGTACCAGGACGTAGCTTCGCTCCCTGCTTACGACCTGGTCTGCGTCGCGACCGGCATCGCGCCAAGCATTTTCGTGCAGTGCTACCTCCTGCCGGACTCGCATCAGGTCCTGGGCACCATTCGGTTGAACCCCACGAAGCAGCAAGACTGCCCCCAGCGACGTCTGGGGACTGGACTACAACCGTCGCACCGACGTCTTGGGCAAGCTGATTCACTATCCGGGTCACGGCGCTGGCGTTTTGTACTGCCTCTGCGACAAGGAAGTGCCGTTCGAGAGCTGCGCGCCCATAGCGCGACACTTCGTCGAGCTCTCGAAGTCCCCGCGCGTCACTTCGGTGTGCTTCACGGCATTGCCGGCCTAGCGACTACAAGTCCAAGGGAAGGCCCGAGTTTCCTCTGCTGAGGCAGCTTCGCACGTTCGGCTCGGCCAGGAACGGCACCGAGGAAGCCATACCCGACTTGGAGACGCCTAACACGGTATCCGGCATGTGCGCCGCTGTTCTGACTGAATGCGAAGTCGGGGACATGCCTGGTACCCTGTTTGTCCTCTACACCGACACGCCTGAAGTCGACTCCACCGTAGTTCGCGCTGCTCGAACCGACTCTGAGGTTGAACTCCCTGCAAGCCCTGAATCAGCCGCTCGACAATTGCAGGAACGAGCTGTTGAGGCGAATTCGGGACGCCAAGATTGACCGCGGTTACCTGTACTTCTGAGGTCGAAGCTTCGCGCTAGTCGTGCTCTAAGACGAACGCTGACAGATTTTTTTTTCAGTTGAAGGCAGAAAGCAGAACACACTTCTGATGTTCTGACGCTAAGCTCTGCGAGTACATGCCCGAGATGTGGCCAGATGCGGCAATCAGACGAGCTTGTTACCTCAGAAGCACGGCTTACCTGCAGGCCACCTTGATTTAGTGGTGCCGGAGTCAAAAATGGAAAACATGGCATCCCTTTAGGGATGCCATGTTGAACCAAGCGTAGAACCACTGACTAACGACCGCTGTTTTCCTGTGCTGCTGTAATCTGATGGGAATCCCCAAGAAGCAGTTTAATCATATACCTTGTTCGACCATCAACCTGCGGTAACCAAGTCACTTTTGACTGCACGTCTTGGTTGGAGAAGCTTCGCGGTAGTTGTGGACAGAATGAGCGTACGTGCTTAACTGAATATCAAAACCTCTTGCCATTAGCACTTGGCAATAATTTAGATGAATTGACAACAGAGCTTGCTGTCGCTTCGTAGGACGCATCAAGTAACTTAAAAAATAATCTCATTGACGCAATACTTGGCGTGCCGCCACACATTACAAGGCACGTCACGCAAAATGTGTCTTTCCCACTGCACTGTGTTTCACGAAGGTTGACATTTGAACAAATTAGCATGGTTTTTTCAACTGAAGGTGGCTCAAACGACGCGGAAAAAATTGTCAGACCAAGGCACTACAATCACTCTTCGTCTGTAATTACATGTCTAATTATATTGAAGTTTCGTGCTGCCATTGACCGATTGTGAAGTTTCAGGAGCCTTATGCGGCTCTGGCAAACAGGCGTCCGACGTCTACATTGTCGTAAGCACAGACTTTCGTGTGGTCATCTTGTTTCAGTATTGTCGCCAAGTTTTGGTGGCCCAAGGTGTAATGAACAGCGAGCAGTCCGTTGCCTTTTGAGAGTCGTACTCGCTGTCTGAAAGTGATTGAGTCATGTTATATACATCTCTGGCATATTTTGTTCCCCAGACTATTAAATCAAAGAATTCTTTCAATGCTTGTCAATTTTCTGGCGTGCCTTGTGTGCGCTGCACGGCAACCTTCACACCCGATTTTTTACGACGCAGTGTGAACATTATTATGCCAACATATTATCAGACCATAATCTCAGTGGAACACTGAGCAGTTAACAATCGCTAAGGCACATATTCTTTCGACCTTCTGGTCTTTACACACTATTCCAAGCACAATGCAGTTTTAAAAGTTGTAGCAATTGCTTAACTATGCGCTACATTAACCTTCGGATGCACCAGGGTAATGTTAGACTAGATTCTAATAGGCACATGTTTTTAGGAATCAAAATGGCTTATAAAGGGGCCTTGCAACACTTTTTGAGCATGGTCAGAAGACGTTGCCAACAGGTGGTCGAGGCTTTCGAGAACACGAGCAAAATATTATAGCACAGCACGCAGCCTGAAATTTACCAATTGTCACAGTCGGCAAAAAACTTATTTTTCTCTCGATAAATCATGGAACAAGAATCGCTCATCACAGCTATTGTACCAGCCATTTGCTGATTTCAACATGGCACGCTCGGACCTTACTGGGACCACCGTGGGAGGCCGGCACTTTACGCGTGCATGTGCGATCGCGCTGAAAATTCACTTATTCCAGGAAAAAGTGCTCAAGGTCACCCGGCCCATGACTTGCATTTATTTCCCTTGCCACCCCCCCCTTGCATGTTTACCTTTATTAGCTTCCAGCACTTTCGTCGTGAAGAGAGAATGTGATTGCAGCGTGCAACAAACGTGGTAACTACCCTTGTACTGGACCGATTCTACAAATTTTTGCTGTGGCGTGTTTGCGAGGCAATAAGCTCTTTTAATGAATTCATTCCATGCATAGCTGAAATAGTGTAGCAGGGCTCCTTTAAAAGCTATACTTACGTTATATGAAGTGCTGTCATACCAGTGTATCGTTAACTACATTCTAACCATATCATATTTCGAGAATTCAAAGTGTTTCAAAACACATTCCAAGCAATGCATGTTTCGATAAAGTGATTCCAAAGCTATACATTTGCTATATAAAAATTCTCGCACAGTAATGTATTGTTAATCTACATGTTCAGCAGAATATATATTGAAGCCTTAAAACGATTACAAAGCTATACATATGCTACATATACCTTCCTGTGCACAAGTGTTTTGTTTACCTTAATTCTAAGCAGAACATCTTTTGAGAAATGAAAGCGATCCCAAAACTGTATATATGCTATATAATCGTTCAGGCGCAGCAACGTATTAGACTACATTCTAATTGGAACATACATCAGAGAAAGTGATTACTAATTGTGTGTGTCTATGTATGTATGTATGTATGTATGTATGTATGTATGTATGTATGTATGTATGTATATATATTTGAAGCAATCCCCTTCAGACACAAAAACCATGTAGACCTGGCACAGTTGAATATTGATAGCCTATATTACACATGAAACAATGCTCAGGGAGATGGATACAAATGCTGCACACCAAAAATAAACGTCGGCCCTGCAGTCATTGCTTTGCTTTTCAGCCAGCACTGTCCATTTCTTCTGAATATTGTATTGCTAGGGCGATTGTAGAGACGCTGTAAGCGAAAACTTGTCAACAATGTGGCTTGAACAAGGCCCAAGTGTGACGGCATGCCATCGTGCTCCATGGGTGGCGGTGCGCTCTGCAACTGTGGGCGCATAGTCTTCGCACGCAGACACATTGTAACCATATGAAGATAGCAGGTATGTCACCTGCAACCCTCCACCAAATATGGCTACCGCTAGGAGCGTCGAGCGGTAAAAATTCTGGTCCACAACTGTCCTTTGAAGTAGTCGCACATCCAGTTTCAAGAACGACAAGACACAAAAGAAGCGGACACAACACCAGGTGTTTCGGGAGAGTGCAGTTTTTAGTCCAGGGCAAAGAGTATTTACAGACGTATGGTACAATCACGGGCTAAATAACGCGCAGCATTAAATTCATACTTTTTGCTTTTTTTTTCGTACACCACTGCAAGGTCTATAACTTTTTTCTTTTCATGCGGGACAGTGTACACACTCACTCACACACCATGCACACACACAAACATGCGCACATTGAAACGCCTCGTATACGTCGCGTCTAACCGCGCTGTACTGATAAGTAAAGGAAAAACAACGCAGAAAACTGGAACTTGTCCTATTCAGAGCAACACTTTTCTTTGTGCTCTTCTAGAATGAAGAAGCGCGACAGCAAAAGTTGCTCATGCCACGAGGAGACACAAGACACTTTCTTTTTTCGGGTATATTCACACTTGTGAGACGGTGTTACTGAAAAAACGGTGCCTGTCCGAATTGATGAAGTAATCACTCCTGTTCCATCAAAGGAAGATATAAGTGGTGCTGAAATGGGTGCAATTGCTTTATAGTTTGCAGGAAAGAAAAAAGGCATCCAGAGCTGTATTTTCATTTGTAATTAAAATGAATTTGTTATTTTACAATTGGTATCGCACTGTGTAGGCAAGTCAAGACAACAATCGGGCAGTGACAATTGAGCTAATTAGAACATAGGGCACGAGAAACAGATCACAAGATGAATTAGGACTAGGTGTTCCGTCACCTAGCACGATGAATACACATCTGTACGAAGTAAACTAAAGCGAAGTACAGAAAATGGAAAATTACACGAGCAACTTTCGCACTTTGTTGTCTGCACTTCCCACAAGTATCAATGCCCATTGGCACAAAGGTTTAACGGCGAGATCGAGAATCGATAACATTTGCGCGACATGGATTGTGTCACAGGCTCGCAAAGAAGTGAGCGAATCCACATGGACACTCTAACACTGATGCAGCATATTTCATTATAAAGCGATTCAGAATGGAAGCGGGGATTGCAAAAATATGAAAGGGCTTCGGCACATCCAGAAGCAAGCAGCTACGCATCCGTCTGAGGTGTAGTGTGCGATCAGTAAAAGGAGATACAAGCTGCAGGATTCTTTTGTTCTTATTAGCCATACTTGGGTAAAATGTGCCGGCACTTAGGTTGCAGCTACGCACACAAAGCAAACAATGCCGACACGGTTCAGCTGATCTATTCCAAATGTGAGTACGCCCTTCATAAAATGGCTGATGTGTGCGACACAGAATCCTAAGTATAGAAAACATGGCTGGCAATAGACAGAGTGTGGAGGAATAAAGGAAGAGTGTGTCGAAGGAACAATACCAAAACGAGATGAGGAGCGAGACACGTCGACCCTGAACACCACTAGCTTCATGCAAAGGCCACTAGGGGACATTTGGCGCTACTGTAGCTGAAAGTTGCCAATGAGGCTGTTCAGCATGCACACCACTACGTAGCCTGTATCACAGCCGCTAAATTGAGAGGTCTTGAATGAGCCACGTGATGGTAGCGTATTTCATTTTTTTTCTGCTTTTGCAAGAGACAGACTAAAGCAGTGACAAACCACATTGTGCAGCAAACAGTCCACCTCGTTTGTGTGAAACACTGCGGCCAAAGGAAGTGAAGAATTATTTTGGAGCTTCCACATCAGTTTCGCAGTAAACTGCGCATGCACACACCATGGACGCCGCCATATTTCTGATCCACTAACAGCTGCGGCATATATTTCATGCGCAAATAGGAAAAAGAAGAAAGAAGGAAAGCCAGGTGAATAATTATGTCAGCATATGGGCAATCAGTCTTGATTACATTAAATTGCAATCAATGCTGGAGACAAGCTACTGCTAACGAGTTACAAAAACTTCTCTGCCAGTCACTACCATTTGCACACAAGTTGGGTGCGTATTAAGCGGCTACATATCCCAAAATGACATTCCAGAGCGGTGCTTTTGCATAAAGGCATATGTGATTAAAATGACAAACATTGCACTGATGTGATAGATCACACTCCAGAAAATACAATAGGCTAGTCTCACTACAGACGGCTTGATATGCCAGAGGACACAAAGTTGAAAGGATAAACAGCGACGCGATTACAGAATTCATGTAAAAGATCCATGTGAGGTTGAAGACCTGGCAATGTCTGTATGTGGATGCTGAAAAACAGTGCTGCAGCGGTAGCGTGTGGACAGGCATGTACTCGCACAATTAGGAAAGGCTCAGTTAGCATACGCAAGGCTCTCCGCGCAAAACTTTGCCTACAAACAAGTGACTTTAAGCCTGTGAAGACATCTCTGCCATGTTCCATGACTTGCCGTGAAGGTCAGTCACTAATTTATGATGCAAGAGGTGAGACAGGAACAGTAGTAGTAGGTCTATTACAAGTAGCTTCTACAGAAACATATACCGTTTCATTCCCACAACACTCACAAGTACGGAAGAATATGTAATCCTCCAGGTTACGGAATACTGCGTTCACTCATTGTTTCGTTTCGGATCGCTTGTGCTCCCCATTTAAAAAAAGCCAATCGAGAAGGACCAACACGAAACTGTATTTCACAGTATCGTACAGGCCCGCTGGTGTCTACGAATACAGGTTCTAGATGCCTTATCACCAATAGACGATTGCTAACAGTACTTGCCCATTGTTTTTCTCACTCTGTCTTCAGTGTTGCAATGTACGAATGCAACCACACCAAGCTGTCAAGCCATCAAACCTATCAAAGTCCGCACTGATCCACAAAGTGTTGGAGGAATCTCATCTACTTCGGAACAGAAAGCTCAAGGCGCAATTCTGACCATTACACGCACTTCACTTTGATGGTGCGACGTGGCGACCCTACTAATGCAACAAACGCGTCCACCATGTCCCCGTTTAGGTTCCCGCGAAAAGCGGGATTACAACTGAGTTTGTTGCCACCGTTCAACAAACTAGAAATGTTAACTTTGTAGGGCGATGCAAGTTGGGGAAAAAAAAAGCTGAAGAAGTTCACCCTCGGACATAGTTTAAGAACGATGAAGGCTACAAACATGTAAAAGGGTAAATTAATGCCCGAACAAAAGGTGTTGATGCAACGTGTTGATCGTGACCTTTTGACGAGTCGAGGCAGCCAGACCAACTTCGTCAAGATTGGCGACAGCTGCCCATTAGCCTGATTCAAATATGGGCACCAGCACTGCTTGTATGTTAGGTAGTCAGTTTTACTAAATGGGAGCTCTAGCGGCGCCCATGGCACACGAAGATGAAAAAGACCTACTGTATCAATTCGACGTGAAAAAGGAAAGTGTCCAGACACAAAGAAGACTCGTAGGAAAGAAAGAGGAAAAGGGACAGCACACACACACACACGCACAAAAAAAGGACACTGAAGTTACGGCAAAAGAGTGAGTGTCACATGCCGACTAGAGTTTCATGTTGCATTTTTCCCTCAACCGTTCGTGCGACACACTATACGAAACACCCAAAACAAGTGTGAATATGTGTTCGCTGGTGAACTTTCAACCCAAGACACAAAGAGCGATTTTTTGGTGAGGAAGAAAAAAAGAGGCCATCTGACTGGCAATCTGGGCTCGGTGCCCGTCCAACTGTAATGTCATTGCTAGATAAAAAAAATAGAAATTTTAATAAGTTAATCCTCCCCAACGCGAACCGTTTGGTTGCGCATGAAGCGTGCGTTTAATCGCTTGGTGTAGTCACCACAATTCAGTAACACCTGCTGAGAGACAGCCTTCTTGATGAATTGTTGTTTTTAGCAAAGATATAGAAGAAACAAGCTTGCCTATGGCAATAAAGCATACTGTGACTACGAGTAATGACACGCAGAGAAAACACTGACGACACAATAAAAAGATACGATAAAGGCTATTTCACATGATGCGATTACAGAAAAAAAAAAATATAGCTCTATTCACTCTCTTCGTTACTGCCGCTAAGATGGTGATTTCAACACAAGCTGAGAATGGTACGAGATTTTCGCTCTGCTACCGGCACAGCGAGCAAAGTTGCTCGCTGCCGTTCTTTGAGGCAGATGCTACGCAATTTCTCAGATGTAATGTAAAAGCCTGTGCGTTGCAATATTGTTTTCATGATATCAATGAGAACTAACAGACTGTTCTCAGTAATACTGTGCCTAACAAAAAAAACGAGCTCTTAAATTTACACTTTTCTTCAAGTTTTCATGAGTGGTAACAAACGGCACTTGCTTTCTGTCATACGAAAACACTTTAGAATCTTAATTACTTTAAAAAGAAACAACAGTAGCAACTACTAAAACAAACACGTTGACATAGCCGACTGGGTGCACTTAAGACATGTCGCGACAAAAAAAAAGAAAAGTTATGCTGCTAAGAATGCAGCGAAAAACTTGCAACAACTTGGCTGCCACCACTGACCGCTGTGGCAAGAGCGATCCACTGCTGTGTTTGCTGCGAAGAAATTCGCAGCCTCAAAAATTGCTGTATTTCGCACCATGTGAAACAGCCTTCAGACAAGTTAAGCATCATTTCTCGATTTGCTTGCTCGCGTTGTCAGTATTTTATCCTTTGGCGGGCGCATTCCACGCGTGTACAGCTTTTCATTACGCGAGTGCATTTCATGGCTAGGTTGCCAAAAGGGCACACCTAGCTGGCACCGCTGCAGTTACACTTGGAATGCATGTCACTATAGCGTAGCAACTACTAGTAGAAGCAGCTTAGAATAAAGGTGTGGACATAGCAGCATCCACTTATAACAACAACCTAGCCAAAAAAAAACGCTCTCGAGGTCTTATCTCACAAGAACAGGCATCAGGGTCCCCTGCAGCTTTTTTCCCTTATCTGTCTTGTGTCTTTTTAACATTAATAAATTTTTTTACAGTGTTGAAAGAAAAATGGGCTGCCGAGGAGCGAAGTTCATGAGCTACGTTGACAATGCGCAAAGACACGATGCCATCCTGATGCGTGAAGAAACTGGCAATGAGGTTGTGCCTCTACAGTGGAGAAAAAAAAAAAGAGAGAGAGAGAAAGCCAAGGCGCATCTTGTACACCTGAATATTGTGTCAATAAGGCGACGAAGTATGCATTGCTGTTCCAGCTAAAGTTGACAGCTTACTGGTGCTCAAGTTTCATGCAAAGCTGGCACTCCACAATCAATTTCCTGTCATAGCGAAGTCAAAGTACTCAGCTTATTACATTGGCACAACCAACGCGTAGACTGCGCCCTCCTACGGCCAAAGGCAAATGGGCACCATCTCTAGCAATAAAAGCAAACTCATTCCAAGTAGGGCTGCAGTGGGCGGTTCACTTTCAGAAAGAAAGCCTTCCTAGCTTGGAATCGCTGAACCCAGACTTCGCTTGAGAACCATAGTGTGTGTGCACCATGGAATGGTGAAAAGCTGTCATGTCATCTGCTTTACGTTCGAACCACTAGAACGTTTCCTCAACTAATGTAAATGATACACATATTAATAGTTAAAGGTTCATTGTTACTACTCAAAATATAAAATTTGGCTGAGCAGCTATGTGAGAATCCAAGATGAAGTTCTCTAAAAAATCGAAGTTTTCGAACTGAAACCAGCGACACAAGTGTGCGCCTATAGACGAAGTGAACTTGAACCTCATTAAAATTTACTCCATAATGATTGATATGTGGGGTTTAACGTCCCAAAACCACCATATGATTATGAGAGATGCTGTAGTGGAGAGCTCCTGAAATTTCGACCATCTGGGGTTCTTTAACGTGCACCCAAATCTATAATTTACATCATACATTAAACGAATTCGTAACATCCAAAATTTCGTTATAAAAATATATTTTCTACACCATATAGCAAGACTTGATTTACTTTATTGTAACTGATGTTTCGTTATACCTGAGTTTGTTAAGTTTATGTATTCATGGTACCATGGTATTCCACAGGCCCCAAAGAGCATTGAGTAAGGGCAGTTACGAAAAAATCACAATAAATAAAGCATAATAAGAAATTATTAATGAGGTTTGAGTGTACATGAAACAGTGTGTGAAACAGTGTACATGAAACAGAGGAGTGTGAGGTCCTTAAAATGAGCGAACGCTGTTGGATGGAGCATTTATAGAAATTCTCTGTAGGTGGGCAGCGATGCCTGTGGGCGGAGCCAACGTTTTTTCATTAGTTGTAACTGACTTTACCTGCTTACATAATTACTTTACATAATTCCAGATGAAGCTCGCAAGTACTAAATAAAAAAAATGTAACCGACTAATGTTACAAATCTGGGAACCCTGAGCACTAATGAGCAATCCACGTGGAGCCATTTCGACCTGTCTTCCTTATTGACACAATATTCAGAATATATATTGTATATTTCCAACAATGTGTAAAATAGAATAAGATGCATGGAAACCGACGCACGCGGCTGGAAATTGGCGCTGCCATTGGCCAATCACACTGATTCTTGCGTATTTGTTGAGGCGATGCACGACGCGCTTCTCTTCAATGTCCCTGATATCGTGCAACTGTCCATTTGATGAGGCTGACACATTCTGCAGCTGACTGCATCGACAGCGTAGACTATACTCGCGAGCCACGCCATTGTCATTGATAAAACTCGTTTCGTCATGGTATGGCATTTATCTGCATCTAATTAGGAAGCTAGCAGACACCCCCCCCCCAATGAACGAGACAGGAAAACCTGCGAAACTGAGGCACATCTCCGGTATATATAGACTTTACATCCCGTTTCACAGAGCCCGTGGAAGCTTGCAGATCTTTCTCACTTTCGACACCAGCCTTGTTTAGAGAGCTTTCAAAGTGTGCATGACCGCCAGGCTTCGATTCGTGCCACAGATAATAACGCTAACAAGCGAGCTACGTTGCGAAATTCTCAAAAAGTACCCTACTGCACGTCACAGTACAAAGCGCTCCCTATTGTACAGGTATACAACACAGCTCTTCCTTTAACTAAAGTCTACTTGAACGTAAGCATGCTACAGACAGCCAGGACTTCGCATTTTTGATTTGTCACAAGTCGAGCGGGCCTACAAAGCTAGAACGACGACGTGGCGAGACACGGCATTAAATGAATAACCTCTTCCTCCATCTATTGAATAGCTTGCACATGACGTCACAGCGTGCAATTAGGTCGGTGCGCCTCCGTCTGATCTCTCTGACATAATATTCGTGATAAGAGAAGGTGGGATTGGAGCCCGTTAGGCCCCGATTAAAACGTGGCCGCCGCACAATGACGTCGGTGCAGGTCGCCCCAGGTTACGGGTTTGTCGCAACGTGGCGAAAGCAGCGCCAAGTTTCGGCCCAGCGGCGTGCGCCGGGCACTCCGGATGGCTTTGCTTCGGGGCTCCGTGTCACACGCAGCCGTGGCGGACCGCGGACTGGCCGCTGCTTATCATCATCGGCTTTCCTCTTCGACTGGAGCAGAGATAACGGCAGGAAACAAGGGGGCACACGTTTGAAGTGTTCCGGAAGGGGAAAACGGGCCGCGATAAAATCAAGTCGTCGAGATATGGGCACGCCTTCGCGACGGGCCATCAAACGTCCACCACCATCTTCTTGTGGATATCTGTGTTGCCGACAACCTGCGGAGACAAGACAAGAAAAGAATCGGTGCTATATTAGAAGGCACCATAAGCAAACTGTAAGCAGCATTGTTAACACTGAAGCATGATAAGCTGGAACATGAAAACCCTTTTTGAGTGCCTCATCCTTGACACCCAAAGAACATTGCTTCTCATAGGTCTCACTTGCAAATAGTGCTACACAAAGTAAGAAGGCAAAAGGATTTGTAATCCATTTCTACAAACCCTCTATTCAATGCAGAGTTAAAAAAAATAAAGTAAAAAAAAACTAATTCACACGTACCCATTTAACTACAGGCCATGGTGAAATAATCCTGTAGCAAAAGCTTAAAACACGAGGGGCCAAGCTTCCGAAACACTGCTCAAGTTTTGCAAGTTTCTAGGAGTTAGAGTCTCAATAATAGCAGCAGAAGAAAAAAGTTGGTGGCTCGTCGAATGTACATTCTGGATTCTTACATCCCATGGTGTAGGGGGCATTTTCATCGCCTTAACCACAGATTTTCTGTACACTATTTCCTTGCAGCCTACATAGTAACTCTACTGGACTACAAATCTAGAGGAATTCCTTCGGAAGCAAAGCAACAGCAGATGGCTACTGTGGGTATCGCTCTGGCTTCAACGAAGACGATGCGTAGCTAAAGTGCACACGCTTATGGCGGCCGGAAGTTGAGCCTGGGACTTTCCACAGTAAATGTGCCTTTTCTTGCTCCGCCTCTACTTTCCAACAAGAGCTTCAGAGGACCCTTGGCCCTGAACCTACACTACATAACCCCTTTGGTGTATAAGCAGGTTTCACGGCACATATCGCAGTCCAGAAGTTTCACTAGCTATTACTAGTTTAGTTTTCTTCCTTCACTCAAACATGCTTCTATTACAAGTCATTGCTTATTTCTGTATCAGCAGAGATCCTGCAATTCTTTTAGTCTTCCAAAAATAGTCTAATAATCTCTTAACTATCACAAGTGCTGTTAAGATGATAGCACGTCCATCTGACCAATTAAAGAGGATGGCTGCCTTTCAGTTGTTCTGCTGGGTGAATACCGTGGCAATTCATTACAATGTGCAGAGTAGTATACAGACATTCACTGGAGCACGTACATGCCTCATCCCACAGAAAGCACTAATTCTGGTATGTTCTTGTTCACATTTAGCCAGCCCAAGCTTGCTATAGCACAGTGCTGCCCTTCTGAATATACAAGTATTCCTTCTCAGATTTCTATTTCACAGGTACTATACAGTTACAACCCCTTTGCGAGAGAACCTAATCCAAGATCCAGCAGACACATTTAAACTGCAAAGCAGACAACACGTTAGAAACGTAGAAGTACAGCACATGCAAACATGTGCAGTGCGTGTCTGTTTCACGTTTCTAATGTGTGCAGTCTTCACGCAGTTTTATTATGTTTGCTGAATTAATGAATCTGGCAGCGCACAACATACCACAGAGAGGTAATAGACAACTGGGTATAAAAGCCACCAGTGTGGCTACATCAAAATAAGGATTGGATGAATGAGATAGTGGTGGTACCCTCCTGGGAAGAGATGGCTTGTAAAAAGGACAATGACTAATCAACAGAGCTCGCCTCTTATAAGAGGGTTCATCTCTATATGCAGATCTGTTACCTTTCTCGCTTGCTTGCGTTACATTCGAATTATTGCCCCATTCTTTAAAAATTCTCAATTTTACACTTCTTCCTGTGGCTAGCTGCGAGCTTTCCTTACCCCTTAATTCACCCTGTGTCAATGCATTTAAGGCACACATATTCGTGTACTAATATTATCTGCGAGTTCAAGAATGCAATTTTGAGGCTTACTGTATCAGAGAGGTCTAGAAATTTTGGCCATGTAAGGTTCCCGAGTACACCCCAAAATCACATGAACCTTTACGACTTTGTCTCCATTGAAATGCGACTGTTGTAGCCAGGATCAAACCGGCCTATTTAGAGTCGGCAGCCAAGCTTCATAGCGCAGTGGTTTGTGTACTATATTCACCCGTTTTTCCATCCGCATTCCGAAAATTCCCTCGAAACTGACTTTGGCCTGGCTTTTAAATTTCGCTTTCTCTGCAGGTGCCAGATGCCGGTCAGCCCAGTGGCTTTTAGTTATCTTCTTACCCTAATTAAACCTACCTATCAAGAAGCCACGTAAATGAAGCTGTGATGCACGAGTTTTTCTTCCCTCCGGTGTTCATAAAAATTGGACGAAAGCCGAACATTGTTGCTTTAATTGCACAAATGTAACGCACAACAAGGGCAGCAAATAGCCTACTTTCAAACAATGCCAAGTACGAAAAAATGAACAAACAAAAGAACATAACCACAATGAATCTGACGAACACTTCTGCACAATAGAGACTGAACACAAACCAATGTTCTTGCTTTGAGCAAAATACAATATCATACATAAATAAAGAGGATGCCACACAAATGAAGTTATATCATCGAAAGAGAACACGCAGCAAAAAACACGCACGATTTGGGTTTAGACTAGCTTCATTGGTGTTGAAAGTTGAAAGACTTACAATATATGATGTTTTGATTAAATAATACTTCAGCGCATAGCTCCAACAAAAATACAATATATATATATATATATATATATATATATATATATATATATATATATATATATATATATATATATATATATATATATATATATTACATTGCTCTTCTGCTTCAGTGAAGCTGCTTCCAAAATGACATACGATCAAACAGAAGTGCCCCTACATAGCTACGTCTTTTGTGGCCCAACAGAGGGTGTTGAAATCTCGACAATGTTTACATTTGCAAAACGAGGAGTTGCAGAACTCGATAATATGTAGTGAATACAAGTAATTGGGCACACAAAACAATGAAGTATATCACAGCATTCCAATCTCGGCCATGCCTATTCTAAAGAAATCGATGAGGTGGCAGTATATGGCGGATTTGTGCATTGACGTGGCCGAGGCACTACCCCATTTTAACAACAGCCTCCAAGCACATCAGTGCTAAATCTACGGGACAATACTCATACCGTCTCGAAAGAACACACTATAGGAATGTGTGTATAGGAAATATCCGGCTATAAGCCTTCCCTCGCAAAACGCGCTCCCAGAAAACTTCGGACACGCAACGCTGTCTTTGCCGGTTGCTACGGCAACGAGTTACATATGCATGTCGGGGAGATAGAAGGGCAAGCAGCCACACACCGAGCAGAACTCGTCGAAAGAGATCTTGCCGTCCTCGTCGCGGTCGGCAAACAGGATGGTCTTGTCGACGATCTGCTGGAGCTGCGCTTCCTTCAGGTTGTTGCCGACCATCATCTTGAGCACCTGGAACAGCTCCCCGTTGGAGATGAAGCCGTCGTTATCCATGTCGTAAATCCGAAAGGCAACTGAAAAGCAAGGGAAGGCGCATGTAAGTGCTTCGTCGCATTGCAATGGGCCCATAAGTTAGCATGATCCAAACCCCAAAAGAACACGCTCGAACGAGCTCGAGTGCGGCATCTCCAGAGCTCAACGCAACAACAATTTCCGGTGACTGCTTTCGAGGCCACGAAATGATTACATGGTGAATGTTTCATTGCTTCCCTGGCAGCAGCAAATGGGGAAGGAGAATGCAATTTATCGAAGAAAAGAGTAGAAAACGCAACATTCTTCTGAAAGCCATTGCCAGGGCGAGTTCTCGTGCACGCCCTTATGCACAGTATCGAGGTTTGAGCGCATAGAGTGCGCTTCGTAGTCCTACACCGGAAGTCACTCTTTAATGGTTAAGTTTACAGGAGTGCTCTCTGCTGGCTACAGTGTGCTCGAGCTCCTTAACTGAACATGGCCAATGAGTGCAACAGTACACACCCTCTACCACATTTCCTCTCACCTACTAATGCAGCCTATCATGGCAGCTAACTTACAAATATCACACTCAAGTCTCGATTTAATGAACCCGGATATAACGAAATACTGTTTATAACAAAGTAAATGAAAAATAGTCTTGCAATAGATATAGTGTTAGAAATAAACCTTTAAAACAAATTTTTGGATATAGCGAATTTCTTTTTGTGTAAGATGAAACGTTATAGTGAGGTTTGAGTGTACACGCAAAATGTAGCAATGCCCGAAATCCAACAATTATGAGCACAACAAAATGATATTCACAAACATGTGCACACACGAACCCCTCAGTATTCGTGCTTTTTTTTTTTTAAATCATGCCGTTTGACAGTCTGTCCAGAAATTCAAAGACTAAATTAAGAGTTGACATCTAACCATAATAGGATATTAACAATTTTTTTTACAAGAAATACAATTGTCAAACTAAATACCGAAGTCACTACGCCGTTCCCAAGTCCATAGGTTACTCTGCGCACATTACTCTGGATGGTAACTCCGGCATGCAATCCTCTTTGCAGGACAACTAACGTTTGCTCCACACAGCCCACATATTTGTAGTAAATAAGCTCCTATATAAAGAACCAAACTGAACTGTCAATGACTGTATAGTTGGCACACAGTGATGCAGGCAAAAAAATGGTTAGAAATGGTGCCGATGTCAAAACTTCAGGATGTGGCATTAAAGAACAGATAATGTCTTTGCAATTCATTGAACTCTTAAAGTTACACCAAATAGAAAAACAATATTTCCCGTATAAGTAGTGTACAGTTCCACAATCTACAAAATGCCACTCTTGCCGCGAGGCACTTCGTAAGTGAGCAAACACATGTATGGAGACGCCATTTTGAGATTCTCTCACCAAACACTGAGACGTAGAAAATTTTTACGGAGTCTACTAGCCCCACGTCATTCCTAATTGGCAAAAATTAAGCACATTGGCTTTTGTGGGGGCCATACACTTAACGTATGAAGTTACAGAAAATTACATACAGCCAATGTCGCGAAAATAGGATAACTAATATTGAAATTCGCAGTGTCAGTAGCGGAGATTTCAGTTCGAAAGTTGAAAATGAACATGTCTTTGTTTTGTCTTCTAATAATCACTTATGATTGCAAAACTTATGAAATTTGAGTTGTCAGAGTACAGTGTATCAATCCAAACCATTTCATTGTTTCATCTTATTACCCCTTTAAAGCAATGCATTTTTCGAAGTTGATTCATAAGAAATGATGTGCATGTAGTGAAAGCATGATTTTCATCAAACACAATCGCCGCACCAGGTCAAACTACACTCGGTGACGTGACACAGAATATAGAACACTTCTTAAAAACACTCACATCTCAGCTTGGACTCCTTGTCGCCTTTAACGCTAAATTGAGACACTCCTTGAATAAATTCTGCAGTAAAGAAGAGAAAATATGTCAACATACTCCAAAAAATGACCACTGGTGCCGCGGCATTCAGCCTACACTTTCATGGCACTGCGTGGTTGCTTGCTCGTAAGTGAAAGATGATATTCTACCGCAAATTCGGCAGATACCACACATCGAGAGTATTTACGTCATGCGAAGCATGCGGCAGGAAGGTGACCATAGCGCAATTTTTCACTGAGTGGAACGCTGCGTGAACACCGAATGTTAAAGGATCGCATATGCGTTATATAAGCAGTAGTTTATATAACAGTTTCGTATCGACGCCAGCAGCAACACGATTAATTACCAACACAGGTGACCATACATGACTAAGGGAAAGGACTTCATTATGTACGCGGCAAGCGTTTTGAGTTATTCATGTTTTGACCAGTGAATTGTGTTCATCACACAGAGATTCCCTGGTATGCCAATTTTATTATGTTACAAGCTATAGAGGCAACAAAGATAGCATCTAGAAGTAGGTGGCTAGATAGATAGATGAATATGTAAATAGAAACGGCCAGAGTGCTCGAGGGTCGCCAAGAAATGCTTCACATTTGGAACTTCTTGACCGTTAAAAGAACAATATCCTCAGTAAACAACGCAGAGAAAAAGCAATAACAAGAAAAAAAAGTTACGCAAACCTTCTTAGGATCACTTTTTGCGAACTACATCAGAAGTATACCATATATATATATATATATGTGTGACGCTATGATGAATGGGTGACATGGCCTGGCTCATACCCCATGTTTATTCCATCTGCACTTCTTCCTCCTCAGCTTCTACCAACCATCAGTTCATACGTCACACGATTCCCCCTCCCCTTGAAAGAATGCGCGAGCTACAATCAAGAAAGCATGAACAAATGGAGTCTTATAATAAAAAATAATGCCAGAAAATGCAGTAGTTCCATGCCACACGGCGGTTCCATGCACTTGCACAAAATGTTCACAGGAAAGGCAGTCCGGTGATATCTAGGAGACCTCAGGTGGGCGAGGTTGGCTGTTGCGTTCTGGTGAGCATAACCATGCCTTCAGCGTTAAAAATGATGATGGCACAACCTGGTTAGTATTGAGGAAGGAACAAGGCTGGGAGTCCTTGTAGCGTTGGAAGGTCGGATGTCTCATGCGTTGGATTCTGAGACGTGGCTGCGACAGACGCTTTGTTTCTAAAATGCGTGCTTGTTGACGGATTGTGACGGCGTGATGCCTGCGGGCTGGCGGTATGCAAGAAGTGCTTCCGCATGTTTCTTGGCATTTTCCGTGGTGTTGCGGTCTGTGTAACTCCAGGCGCAGGGAGCGTCTCTGGTGACTTTCCTCTGTGCGAGAAAATTTGACGTCTTGGAATACTTTTTGGGTTAGAGATCTTATTTTCCACTGTTCTTCAATTGGTGAGTGTGCTTCCGTTGAATTTCGCGTTCGTCGATGCCTTCGTTGCAGTCTATTTTGTAGTTGCATGAGGTTGCGCGCTTGGCTATGCTTGCTTTGCTGATGCTGCTCAGGAGATGGCTGAAGTGGCAAGCCTTCCGGAATGGGACATTCATTTACTTTGAGGTTTGACGCGTCCTGTAGACTGCTGATGCATGGTGAACAGGTTTCTTGATTATCTGGCATGGTTGGTGGTGCGCCATCATTGCTAGCCTGCTCTTCAGAGGCTTCTGTGACGTGGTTGATTACGGACGCTTCTGAAAAACAACTGCGTACGAGGTTTGATGTATGATTTGCTTCTGAGTTGGTTCAAATCTTGGATTGGTGACCACTGCATGAGAGTACGACATGTGACGTCGCATCACCAGGTTTAAAATGCAAATTTTGGCACATCTGCGGTGCCGTGGAAATGAACTCTTGCGACAAAAAACATTCAGAGTTGACAGATAGTTCATCAGGGGCTTCTTCTTCGCGGCTCACTATGAGTGGTTCTTGCGCCTGGTAGCATGTGACGTTCGATGCGTCTGAGCCTTTTGTGTTTGGAGTTTCTGGTGGCTGCGCACTGGACGGCAACACCGCAACAGGGGTAGTTCGGTAAGGTTTGAGTTGTGAATGGCCCTCTTTCTGTGCAACTAACGATGCGAGCTGTTCTGGCGCATGAATCTGGGTGGTAAGGCCAAGGCTTGGCGTAGCATCGTCCAAGCTCCGCAGCTCTATCTTGACCATTGTGAGCGTGCTAGATGTGAGATGAACATTGGGAGTCACGAAAGAGCCAAGCGATGGAAAACCAGGAGGCGGGCCAAGTCTGCGAGATGGGGAGTAAGCTGCTCCAATGCGTGAAGACTGATTTTCACTCTTTGAGTCATCTTGGCGTTGTTTGGTATTTTTCCCATGTGTCAGCTGGTCTACCATGAACAAGGCGTCCTTATGACACGAATAGTGACCGTTCGGTCACTGCGTCTTGCTGAGACGTTCGAAGATGGTGGTAGGTTGATGAAGTGGCCGGGTCTTCATCCCGCCGACTTGTGTGACGCTATGATGAATGGGTGACGTGGCCTGGCTCATACCCCATGTTTATTCCATCTGCACTTCTTCCTCCTCAGCTTCTACCAACCATCAGTTCATACGTCACATATATATATATATATATAGTGAACGGAAAGATGGCCACTGTGATAGCTCAGTTGGTACGCATTATTGGAAGGTCGCAGGTTCGGTCCCTGCCCATGGCAAGTTATCCTCTTCTTCCCCTTTCTTTCTTCGTATTTACCTTACGTTTACTACGAATAACTACCCCTATGCTTACTTTGTAGTGTTTGTTTGTTTATTTGCATCATTACTAGCACACCAGGATAACGGTATATACAGATTGCTTTTGGTTTCGTTCGAATTGCTGGAATGTTGCACGGTTAGAAGATAAGTGTTAAGTTCTCCAACCCTAGTTAGAGCAACCGAAGCAGTACTTTTATCACTACATATCAAGGACGCAGGGTCAAAAGTCACCTTTGAAATCCACTTCTCCATTTCCGTCCGTGTCAAATATGTCTATTACACGCTGTACTAGAGGGTTTTGCTGGAGCTCTGGAAGGGACATGAACTCGTCGATGCTCAGGGATCCCGAATTGTCAAGGTCTAGCTTCTTGAACCGCTTGCCGAGCCTTTTGATTTCATCAGCGTCAACTAAGGAAAAAAAAGGAAACAGACTCAGCAATAAGGGACATTGTGACCTTATATAAGAAAACGCGATGTGGCACAATAGAAAAACAAACAACTAAATAATGAGGTGAGAGGCTTTCTTAAGATTGATTTAAATTAACTGTGAAGAATAACACATGACACCTCTTCACATAACATATTATCTAATGCACGAACTTACCCAGCCTAGTATTTTGAATTGCTAACTTGAACGCTACGTAAAGTAATCTAGAATTGCAAAATTCTGCCGTTTTTTCTTTTTTTTTTCTTTTTGTTTGGTGCTCCCAGCTCCTGCCCTTGCACTTTGTTATCAGATTCATACCAGATTTATTGAAGCGGTACATTTTTTTATAACCTGTGTTTAAATCGGTGCTATTATTTACTTTTTGTCTTCATTGTGCATTGATACTGTACTCACTTGATTAATTGTAAAATATTTTTTTTGGTTTTTTTCCCATCCTTGACTCTCTGCACTTAATTCCGTGTTTTATATAATCGTGTACTTGCCCCTCCCCTCTATACCAAACAAAATGCACCTAGAGAGTATTTCAAATAAATAAATAAATGTTCAGCTACCTGGTAAAACATTAAATTACTGCAAATTTACCTACAGAAGAAAACTAGCTACATAGTCAACTATGTGTGTAATATCAGCTTCAGCAGCAACCAAACTTTTGGAAATTTTGTACTAGCAAGCTATTAAGCTTACCTCGACATCTTGCAGCAGAAGACTCGATAAACCAATAAATATCAAACACCATCCCCAGTTAGAAGGAAACAAAACAATTCTTATGAAGAAGCAAGAACATTTGGAAAAGGAAGTAAAATCTGTATCATAGTGAATTCTAATGGTACCATGATATTTACATATGATTATCCACATGGATGATTAGTATTATAGCTAAGCTATTCACAATTGATTCTTCACATGTTTATAACAAAAACAAACAGAGCTCATCCACCATAAGGCAAAGTTTAGGGGGTGCCATAGTCAAGATACCCTAATACCTAATTCAGTTTGCCGTGGCTTCTTTCGTTCCAACAGACGGCTCAGTGAAAATTTTAAAACATGGATGATTAGTATTATAGCTAAGCTATTCACAATTGATTCTTCACATGTTTATACCAAAAATAAGCAGAGCTCATCCACCATAAGGCAAGGTTTAGGGGGTGCCATAGTCAAGATACCCTAATACCTAATTCAGTTTGCCGTGGCTTCTTTCGTTCCAACAGACGGCTCGGTGAAAATTTTAAAACATGATCGAGAAAGGACTTGATTTTGTTAACCAAAGTGAAAAAATTGCATCGTCCTCTGTTCGCGAGCAGCATGTTACGTACATGCGGGCAACAGTCTGTTGAAAAACAAAAGAAAAAAATATTCAATTGTTGGCTGTGGTTTTGTGAAAAGACTTACAGCACTCCTACGAGCGTAGCAGCAACTAAAAATATCAGCACAGTTTCTCTGCATCAATGAAACTCTGAGGATGACCGCACTATGTTGAACTCCCACAGACGCATTTCAAGTTTCTTTCCCCAGACTTGCTAGCCCTTGCGCTCTATTTTTAAACTTTTAAAATATATCTTCCACACCACACACAGCAGACGTTAGGGCACATTACGTAATGCGGTGCAGTGAAGCCAATCCTCTGCAATATTAAATACTTATATGTTTGGAGCGTATCTTGCAAATAAATTGCATGAGAAAAATTTTTTGGTTGTTTCAAGACACGTAAAATAACGTAGGAAAAAAAGCTTCAGTATTTTGGTATCGTTCCTTGTGCAAGGAACTCGGTAGAGGAAGGGTTAAAGCTCCAAAAACACAGTAGATTATGAGGAAAGATATAGTAAGAGCCCTCAAATCAATTTCAATCACTAAAGCTTCTGTTTCCTGCCCCTGAATGTGTTGTACAGAAGAATTTGCAGACACACAATCGTTGCACAGTGTTAAACAATTCAAATACAATGACTTGTGAAAGGAACTCACAGTTGGAGCACATCTCCATCGGGAGTGAGCTTTCGTTTCCCTGAAAAATAAAGAAAACATTAAAAAAAAACAGTGATTGAACCTAATGGGATCAGCCACAAATTTAACGTTACACCAATTCAATTGTACACTAATGCATTCCAATGTAGCCTGAAATGCATTACTGAAAGAAAAAAAAAAAATCAACTTGCTCCAAGGTTATAAAGTAGGCAGTCGTCTTTAGAGGAATGCTTGTGTCGGTTAACTCGAGTCTTGCTGTGTTTACTATTGTGTTTTGAAACAATGTTTCCGATAGAGTTGTAATAGATATGTGCTGGAAAAACTTTTGCCGTTACGTATATCAAATGTGTCGACCCACTCCTGCGATAGCACAACCGGGTTTGCAGCACGTATAAATAAATCAATAAACACAAGATAAACACAATAAACCACTGTCGACTAGCTGATTATGCTTCCTAATGAAGCGATTTCAAAGTTTTAAATTGTGCTGCGAAGGTTAATTATGTAAAAAAACACACTGAATGAGTCATACCGAGGCACAGAAAATGACATTCAGTCATCAATGTGTATACCGTCTTTTTTAAGCACAGCTACGAGTGCGCTAATTCAGGCAGACTTGACACTGTAATGTTGGCTAAACCAGCCTTTGGTTGTCCATTTCCAGATGGTAATTTTTTTTTCTTAAATGTGGAAACGTTGCACTGAATTGTGCACAGTTGACTAAGCCTCAGCTTGTCTTGCTCCGGCATAGGAATCACAATGCTGGCGGCGATTATATCCAGTATGCTTGGCCAAGGAAGCAGCAGCCAGACGACTTCGATGAGCAGATTTGGAATACATGCAAAGCTCGTCACTTCGAAAGCGTTGAAGTTGCTGGCCCTGACGTAGAAACTGTGGTGCTTGCTATGGCGACGGCGCAGCGGAGTTTCTTCGTTAACAGACAACTTACAGCCAGGTTTCAACAAATTCTCTTCTATTTAAAAAAACAAACTTTAATTTACGAGTATAAGCTGCCTTCATAAGTAGTGAAAAATAAATTGGAAGCATGCTATGGTGACTTCAAATTGAATTTATCTGTTCCTTTTTCCGGATTTGACGACCACCAGGGCACATTAATGCATGACAAACGCAAAGACGTCACCCTGGCAAGCAGGACATTTGCCGAGTACCACCGTTGAGTTTGAAAGTTATGGATAAATAAATTTTTTCATGAGATAAGTCATTTGAAGTACTTAAAATGTACCGTGCTCTGGGAGGTATGGCACGAGTGCACACATTTTTGCCGAATGTCTAACGAGTTGCAAATGCATTATTAATAAGTGATGTTAATGCAAACCTGTGAAGACGGTCCCCATATGGCATCATGCGAATGGTATTTACAATTGAAGGCATTACCAACGAGTGAACAGCATCTTATGCGTCCATGTGAAACTGGTACATTGAGGGAAGAACTGGAGTGGCACTAATGGAATATTTAAAATCAATCAATAAACAAAATAAGAAGAGCCAATATCAAACATTTATTACTCAAAGTAAAAGATGAAGCTCCCGTTGCAGTATGACACGTATGTAAAAAAATGTTTTTCATGGTTTAGCAGTTTTGGTCAAGTAAACCTTCTGAAAATTTATATTGGATGGATAGATTGATAGACTGATATATACAAAAAGATTTATAGACAGACTGGATATAAGTACTTAATAACAGACAAAGTTGAATCAGCTGTCACCAACAAGTGGTCAGCACTTTTAATGAACATAATACATTAACATTTCTTTTTCTTTGCATACAACAATGAAGCATAAGTGAATAATGAACTCTTCATGAGAAACCAGCATGCCTGGTACTGTTTAGTCACGCGCTGATCACACATCCAAGAAACGCACAATGGTGCGCTTTCAATCAAAATGTGACACGTAAAACAAAAAAAAAAACTAGGCATCTGTGTAGTGACTAATGTACGCTGTACATGAAGATTGCTAAAGAAGTAGAAGAAGATCAGATACGAATGCTAGGAAAAAAAAGAATGAAAAGAACACCATAACAGAACTTGAGAGCAAATAAGACATATGGAACGCTACGTTTGCAACCCTGGATTGTGAGGGGGGAACAAAAAATAGCATGATAGGCTGCAAATATAGATCTATTCCGGGAAATACCACTCCTTCTTGGCTTCCCCAACCACATGCTATGTTTTCTTGTTAAAGAAAATCTCAGAAATTCACGTCTTTAGCCTTCTCCGTGATTTAAAAGATAGAATTGAAGCCCTATATATTAGATTAGATTTGTGGGGTTTAACGTCCCAAAACCACGCTACGATTATGAGAGACGCTGTAGTGGAGGGCTCCGGAAATTTTGACCACCTGGGGTTCTTTAATGTGCACCCAAATATGAGCACACAAGCCTACAACATTTCCGCCTCCATCGGAAATGCAGCAGCCGCAGCCGGGAATTGAAACCCTATAGGGACACTAAAGTAAAACGATTTTTCTTATATTAGTAAATTACAATTTCACAATACCGAAAACGCCACTCTTGCTCCAAGAAGACGTTTGCTAAGCGAGAAAATGCCAGAGTAGTGGAGCACCACCTTAAAATTCCTGCACTTAACGTCATGGCATTATAGATTTTGAGGGCGTCTACAAGGTCATATGAAGCTGCTTAGTGGTAAATTGAATTTTGTGAACATCTACAAGGTCATACGAAGTTGCTTATTGGTAAATATGAAGCATATTGTGCTCTGAGGGGGACCATTTAGCATACGAAGGTACAGAAAGTATCGTTAAGCTACTGTCGCCAAAATACGAAAAATACACCGAAATCTGTGACGTCGACTGCAGAGTTTTTAGCGCTAAATTTAGAAATAAAACTCTGACCATGATTTTCTCTATTATAATGAATATATCTCCGTGCAATTATTGACATTATTTTCAGAATAATTTTTGTCTAAATTAATTTGAAGTATCCCTTTATTATTTCTTTAATGAGTTGTTAAATTATTAGCTTCAAAGTTTTTTTTTATTGGAAGGCTCTACATAACAGATGACACATTATCAAATATAATTGAACTCAGTTTGTCCTTTCAGTGTCTGTGCGATTTCCCAAGTCAATTTTTACAATGCAGTTAAATTTATGAAAATAATAGAAGGAATATAAATACAAAGTTGGTTTGCCTAAATTTGGTTCTCCTAAGATATCAAACTTTTGAGGATGATTTTATGCAGAGGTGTATGACATGAATGTTCAAGAGCTTGAAGCTCCTTGAGAGCGAAATTCTTTCCATGACTGTGATAAGGAACGGACACCAACGAGTAAGATAAAAACATTCATGAACAAAGATTTAGAGTTCTGTTTACTAGGATTCTCTGCCCATGCGATTTCACGTAGGACTGCAGCACTTGCAATGCTCACCTACAGTTTTAGTTGCTAGAGATTACATATTACTAAACAAAAAATGCGCTTAACTGTGAGAAAGATGCTAGGCCAGGAATTTAAACTTCCCGCAGGTGGCAGGCAGTATATGCAATATTATTCCTCTTTAGATTATCATCTTTTATTAAATCGTTCAATGAAAGATCTATCTTTAGTTCTTGCATAGTCGTGTGTAGCTTGAAAATAATCTAAGATAAAAAACAAACATCTGACTTGGTCTGCCCGATGCAACAGTTAAAGCAACAGCAATAATGTAAATAGTTCTGTAAAAAGAACACTAGCAAGAAAAATGGTTGTTTGTGTATTAGTAAATTATTGTTTCATAACGGTTGAAAAAAAAAAAAAACATGTATGCTTTGAGAAGAGACTTGAGAAGAAAACTTGGGTGGCAAAGCCACACTGCAGTTTTCGCACCAGTCTCTGACAATATGGACATCATTCTCATGTCTACAAGGACCTATGTAGTTCGTATTCAGTAAAAAATGAAGTACATACTCTTTTGAGGGAGCCATAGGCTTAAAATAAAAGTTTTATGGGCGTATTATGGAAAAACATCTAGGAATCTGTGATGTAACTATCGGACCATAGGAGTTTCTGGCGAGAAACTTAAAACTGATACATTTAACACCAATTTCCCACATGTATTAATGAAACTACGGGTGTAAAATGAATGACACTTGAGTTTTCAATCTATAGTTCATCAGTCTTGACTTCTTTTCATCGTCATCAGCCTGACTACAACCATTGCAGGAAAAAGGCCTCTCTCATGTTCCACCAGTCAACTCGGTCCTGTGCTTGTTGCCGCCACTTTATACCTGCAAACTTCCTAATCTCATCTGCGCACCCAACTTTCTGTCTCCCCCTTCACGCACTTGCCTTCTCTCGGAATCCAGTATGTGATCCCTAATGACCAGGGGCTATCTTGCCTTCACGCTACGTGCCCCGCCCATGATCATTTATACTTCTTGATTTCTTTGCATTTTAGTGCCCTTTCAAAGCGTAGCAGCGTGCCATGTACCCATTACCCAGTGACGCCCACATGCTGTGCATTGTCATGCCCGCACTCGCAGGACACTTGCGCGAATCTTTTTCACTGCCGCGGTACTCCCTGCAGACAGTGACTGTGTGCAGCTGTGCCAGGAACGTGCAATGATTTATGGCTAGACTGTACACTATGGGGGGTAATTTCACGGCTGAATGCGGTAAACATAATGAGCAATGACAAAGGCTACTCAAGCCTCACTGTCAAGGAACGCAGGGCTACAGTGACGCGCAAGAGGTTCATGGCTGAACAGCGCACTTGAAAAAAAAAAAAAAAAAAAAAGAACTATGAGAGATCTACACTTGGTAACAACCTAAAAAAATATGTCAGAAGATATGTTGTTATATGTTCTGTCTTGCCTCCTTCTTTAATGGTATGCATCTTTTTTTTTTATATTTCTGTAAGCATGTAGAGTATTCACGGTTTGAACAAGACAATTGAGGGCTAAGTTATGCTCATACTTTAGTTTCCACCATTTTTGGGTCATATCAGCGTAATTTTGACTTGAATGTGTAGGTCAAAGCCACCACTATCTTCAGAGACCAGAGTTATCCCAACATGACATGGT